AGCGCCCCTGTTATAATCACCTTTCGCGAAGTGATCATAGCGATATATGACGCAATCCTCGACCAATCAGGGCGTGCGTATTTCTTTAATCACCTGAGCAATTATACAAATATTGATTAACATTAATTGACCCCATTAAAAAAGACTGTATTTAACCGACTGACTTGGTTACCTTACATTGTACACCCTTCTGTTTATTGATTAAACAGTTACGTATACTGAAGTCGAAAATGCCGACTTTCCAGCGTATCATGCAAGTTGAGTAAAAAGCGATAATGCACCTTGGAAAGAGTTCTTTTAAAGACTCACTGCTTCCCCAACACTCTCCATAATACTGTAAAGCGAACCACTGAAGGTTTTGACGCTTGGCTTCAGTTGCGCAGCGACAAGCCAAGCTAGAATAAAATATTGAGAAAATAAGTTACGTAGTGTTTTAAAAGTGCGAGAAATGCTACCCAGGCCCTCACACATGTCGGGGTATATTGTTATCCCATCTCCCCGCTGCGGTGCTGGCCCTGAAGAGAATTTCGTGAGGCGAACCTCGTCACGAGGTCCTCATTTAGTAGAAGAAGTCAAAATTGAGACGACAGTGTTTCGACATTCTTTCACCACTGGGGATTTCCATGTTTATGTTATCATTGAATTGAAAAAAGTAAGGACGGTTAGCCGGTTTCTTTGGCTCCTTTCATTATTTGTAGTCTTTCAATTCAACCCCGTTTCTCGAAAGTTCAATTAGTTAACGGTTCTGCAAAGTTGTCTTTTGCCGCATTTGCAGTCAAGATCGAGATATCAGTGGGCACGGAGTTCAAGCAAAAATAGAGTTAAGAAAGGAAACAGAATAGATCAGGGTTTTGAGCTTAGACCCGCTCTACTATACCTTAGATCTAGCATTTAAAACAAGGCTCTAGACCCTTTAAGTTACCGAAACGTTTAAGAAACAACTGGGCCTTAGCAGGTCCTAAAGACGAAACCAAGCTAAACCTGGCACTGGGAGGCAAGCGTTCCTACAACAATGCTATCTTGGTTCCTCCAAATATCCACTCGTTCTAAGACTCTGTCCATTACCGACATAATAAACTTATTGCCTGTGACCTATGCATTCTTTACCTGATGAGATAAGGTTTCCAATGACTCCAGCTTATCTTGACTGTAGAGCCTGGATTTCGATCACTAAACAGTAACACCATCTCCCGTGCAGTATCTTTACGGCAGCCGGCTTTGATCCAGTTTTCTGATTGGCAATGTCCTGTCCAGGGTATAGACAGTTCATAAGGGGCTGGTCGTTATTTATACCCTGGGGGGGGAGGGTTGGAGAATTCTGGTGGTGTCAAGATAAAATTTCCTGTCCCCGCCATAAGGCTCTGAAATATTTTTATGATACCCCTGACCCACCCCTCATTGGCAGTTAATTGGCAGTCAATTTCCTATAGTCCCTTCTTCAAATTTTGTCGTTGACGACTGATCTCCCCTGGGTCTCCCTTGAAAACCATGCCATCCCCCCCCCCCGAAAAAAAAAACCTATCCCCTTCTCCCCCTCCCCCTTCCACACACAGTAAACACACAGGCGATGAAAAATGACCGGTTCCTAAGTTTAACATAATATACAATGAAAAAAACAGTAACGGCTAACTAAGATTTCTCCAAGATTAGAAGCCTTACTTTGTTATGGAAAGCTTTCATTCAGAAATGAGTGGTAACGCTAGAACTTGGGGTCTGAAAGCTGGGTTTATCAATTTCTTTCAACATTCATTTCAGGGCCGCCATTGAGCCACTGCACTTGTGATTGTTTGCTGTGTTTTAGAAATCTATCATGCTAGCCATCTCAACAAAAGGCAGTAACCAAATTCATTTTACAAGATATTTTCATTCAATTAACGGTCAGGTTATAAAATGATCTCCAAGTCAAATGCATTTTGCTACTGAAAAGCGGGAAAAGGTCCTGACCCTCTTGTTTCCAAACTCCAATTTGTGACCCTCCTTTTTAAATGCCGCGCACATCCCTGCAGTCAACTTATGAAGTTAACACCCTTGAGCTGATAAGTGTGTTTATTCTCATTTCTTGCTTGCTGGATAATGTATTGAAAGTGTAAGGAGAAGTTGCGTGTCAGTCACTACTGGTATTTAAAGGATAAACGAGAAGACGAGGCTACAGAGAGAAGCGCGTCCCACAGAACGGTGGGGCCCTCTGTTACTACAAGATTCCAGCTTATAAATGCCATTCAATTCGTTTTCGACATGTCATTTATCTTTGACGCACTTTACCTGATCCACTGGGTAGCGAAGTGAATCCGTTTACAATCAATATAAAGATCAAAAGCTGGAAAACTAATGACAATAACAATCAATGGTCAGTAACTAGAGTTGTACTATTTGTAAACGCCTGCAGCTAAGAAAAAGACATCCCTGAGACGTCTTATTATGATAAAGGTATATTGTTTAAAAACTAACCAGCTATTGCTCATTTTGCTTGAGGATCATGAAAATCAACCTTAAAACCTTTTGAAATAGCCATTGGCAATTTCCCTTCCTTACAGTTTTCTGTCAGAGGCCGAAGTAGAATCATTAATAATGAATCGTAAATGAAATGAGAACGAATCAGGAATTTCTTTCATAACACTTGGGAATCATGAATTGCGAAATACAACCAAGGAATGAATCAAGAACATTGCGATCATTAAAAAAAAAGGACAAGAATTACGAAAATCGAAAGTCAAATGATTTCAGTTACACACTCGATTTTTTCTCGAGAAATCTTTAATCTTTTTTTATAACATTAAAGGCTGTTTAGATGACCCCACAGTAGGATAGTATTCCGGACCCTTCTCCTCCGTAAAAGGACCGAAGATGCGATGAAAAATTGTGATTTAAAATAAAAATAAAAAAGTATTAAAGAAAGAGGATTTTAACGGCCATAGTACGTCTAAATTCATATTTCAGTAGCTTTGGTTTACTTACTACCTTTGTCTTCGCCTTGATAGCATTTTTTTAAGGAAGAGTAGGAATAGGGGAAGCAATCAGAAAGGGTATTTCAAGCAGAAGAGTCGTGAATGATGGTTTAAGTTTTCTAAATCCAGTATCAGATGGTATAAGTAACTATATACCCACTGCCGACTACCACTTACCTTTTCTCATTGTAGACGTTCCGAAGTATTGTTAATTCTTAAAATTTTTTACACGTATATTTCTGCTGGTTACAACCTGGATTTTCTTACCAAACCTGCTGGAGGTTTTCTCAAAACTGCCTATAGCTGTATGAGGTAATTCATTGTATTATTTCTTTTTTATTTCAACTAATATAGGACTGTCGCTAATTTATTGCCATGGAAGCTTCAGTGGCTGTAGCACCCTTTATAAGCTTACCCTATGTGTCTTGAAATTCTGGTCAATGTTGAAAATCAAAGGGAATTGTTACAGTGAAGTAGTTACCCCTGGTTATGTTAAATTGGTTAATATTTCTGATTATTTAAAATCTTGCGAGAAGACAACGCTTGCTCTCAGTTACGAGCACAGTATGTTGTATATCCCACAATAACCGAGCTAGGAGCAACATCCAGCATGTAAAAGCCAACATGAGGCCTACTCACAGAGGAAGTCAAGTGGTAACTTTAATTTCATACCCTCAGTTTCATTCCAGGCATTCAATTTCATATGTCTATTAATTTCATCTCCAAAATTACAAAATTTCAAGTAAGCAGTAAAACCCCGTAATATATTAATGTACACGGGAAATTATAACTATGATATCATTACCAAACATGTTCCCTTCATTTAGTAATTTTAGACAAGCTGTCGTCAGGGAGGCATTGTTTCAGCTGAGAAAAAGCAAATTGAATGGTGAAAAATCATACTCCCAATCCGACAAAAATCTGTACGCGCGAACAATTTCCGAAAGCAGTGAGTTGTACTGAGGTGATATTTTCAGTTCGCACAAAAAAATATAGGTCATTGATTTCACCGGCAGTTTTGAAGAAAATTCCATGCTTTTTTTCCTGTGACGCATAAAACATGATACAAATCCAGTTCGTAATAATGCCTTGATTTATGGAGCATTTAGACGTCAAAGAAAATTTAACAGAACACTTTTAATTACGACAACAAGAAAGAGCGTAAAAGAGATGATATAAAAGTGACCATCGATTCCATGATTGCTCTGTTCCATGATTATACTTTCTGTCAATGTGTGCATGATATTGATTACAAAAGTTGGTCAACCAGGAGCACATTTAAAGGCAAAGTGTTTTAATGCACTAAAGCTAAACCAGATCATATTAACGCAAACTATAATTTATGCGCCACGAGAATTTAGATGCTTGAGTGACCTGGTGAGACACCATAATTTTTTTCTAAATTTTTGGCTGTAGATCACAAGTCAACGAAGTCTTCTCTTTGTGTATCTGACGTTTTAGACAAGAGAATTTCTAAACTGGTCCTATTTGATATTGCTACCAGTAGAGGTAATCCTAATGGAAAGGGGAGATTCCGGTCCTCTTAACGAACATGAATGTATTTCATGGTGATATTGATTCAGAGTTGATAGCGCCGTGTAGGTGGGAAAAGTCTGTTGTGTAATATTCGAGAGTTGAAACGTAATGTTTTACAGCAAATCAAACGGAAAAAATGAACAACACAATCCTTAAAATCAAAGCCAAAGAACAACAATATTTTAATAAACAAAAAAAAATTTGTGGTTCAGAGCGGACCCTGTTTACGAACGGATGAACGCAGTTGCTGATAAGTTCATTTTTTGACGTGTGACATTTGCCGTTAACGATACACTTGACTTCTGAATTAACAAGAACGCCGCTGGAAAGTTACTCTCGTAATAACTTTTGCCGACTCTTCATTCTCTTAAAAAAGAAAAAAAAACATATACATATTTTACAATGTTGTAAGTTTATAAATCGCTGCAGAACTTTTAAAATGATATTCAAATGAAAGCTAATTGTGCAGCAGACGAAGGTGACAAGACTGGATAAAATTTTTAAGGGCGATTGGAGTAACTATTGATGTTGAGAATATCGGTTTAACAAATTGCTCTTCCTATCGCCTGTTATTCTCTCTTGTTGAATATTTGTTGCTAAGTCCTCGTTCCCTACGTAACGCTCACAGCATAAAACGCTCTTAAAAGCGCGCCTGAAACTGCGGTTCATCAAACCATAGATGATGGAGTTCATGGCACTATTTAACATAGCAAGCCATGTAGTCGCCACGAAAAAAGAATCGTCCCAGTTGCAGTTCGGGTCAATAATGCAGAAAACACCGATTGAATGCGGAAACCAGCAGAGGCAGAAAGTTCCTATCACAATTGCAATCATGACAGTTGCTTTATATTCCTTTTTTGTCTTTTTTTCTCCGGTCGGGACCTTTTTCCCACATCTTTCGGAAGAGATCTCGCCGACTTTGATGACATTGATGCGCTGGCGCTGCCTTATGGCTGTTTTTAAAATAATACAGTACAACACAGCCGTTATAAGAAAAGGTACAAAAAGGAAAATGAAGGCGAAAATGAGCGTGTAAGCAAAATTCCGTTCCCAATTCACTGTGCAAACCGCTTCGAATTTCAAGAACTTGAATTCAGAGAAAATGAACGTGGAAAACACACATATAACAGCTTGCAACCAAATACAGCTAATGATGATTTTCACCCGTTTAGTAGTGATTAATGTTTCGTAATTCAAAGGATAGACTATTGCTATGAATCGTTCGATGCTTACGAAAGTTAATGTGCATATCGATGCTTCGCAGAAAATAGAGTTTAACGCGCCAAGGATTTGGCACATTACTGTTCCGAAGATCCAGTCGTAAGTTATGGAAGAGACGAGCGTAAAAGGCATCGCTAGTACAGCGAGAAATAAATCCGCGATCGCTAGGTTCAAAACAAAAACATTCGTCTTGGTTTGTAGACAAGTGAAGCGATACAAGGATGTCAAAATCAAAGAGTTCCCGAATACAGCAGCGAGAATTATTAAACCCAAAATGGTTGCTTCGAAGCACACTGTTACCAAGGAACGTGGGTCGCCTTCTGTAGTTGCTTGCGTTGATGTATTGACTTCCTGTAAAATATCCATTTTTTCCTCTTTCCTCTCGCGTTACGAACATACACCAAAACCAGACGTAGAGAATCTGCAATCAGTCAGAGATTGCGCCCGATATTGCTTTATTTTTTGCAACAGTTTGTCACGAAGTTCAAGCCGAGAAGCGAACAGTTCACCCTCTCGAAACAGATGGACGTCACTGAATGGTTATCAATATTTCATACAGAGCTGTAATTAGATGAAAAATAATAAAGCCTTAAAGGCAACAACGCTATATGTTTACAAATCAGCACCCAAATAGGTTTTTTCCTTACACTGATGTGTGTTTCATGGAAAATAAATGAAGATTTCCTACTTTTTCTGGTAGAAAATATTGGTTGAAACTATAAAGCCTCAATCTATTCTAATAAAACACTCTTGTCGAAAATGCATATTTAACCTGGTTAGTTCCAGGGCGTGAAATCGCGCTTGGGTAAAGACAATTTTTTCCTCAGTCAAGTTTTAATCGCATACCTCCCTTAGTTCCTCTCAGCGAATGACTGTCACTTTCCCTTTACAAATTTCCGCCATCGCTTTCTAGTCAGAAACCTTCCCGCGGACAGAAGAATGAATTTGAAAGTAACAAACTTAAGCAGGCTGTTTTTCTCCAAAACCATAATGAGCCGCTGATGCGTCTATTTCGATCATAAGCAATTTATGATAGTTTATTTCGATCATGAGAAATTTATGTGGTTTTTTTCAATTTATGGCTGTCTTCCAGAGCCTCGGCTAAAAAATTCAAAATTGAGACGTGAAAACTGACTTAATGGCAGAAAATGCTTGGCTGTGTAAACACAATTTCGACATCGCCGGAAAATTTTGTTTGGGAAAGTTGCTCAACGTTGACAGAGGACTTTGCTCATTTAATTTCGATGTGCAACAAATTCTTGGTTCTACTAGCCCAAAAAACCAAATGACTGGAAAAGCTGTGTCATAACTGACGGAAAAACTTGTGTTTTCTCCTTTTATGATGTTAAAGAGTTAAATTAGCAGATAAGATACAAAGAAACATAATCCAAATTGCAGCTGAGTCCACAATCTTTACAAAAAAATTTACATTTCAAAGAATTTTGATGACGCAAACTTTTTAACAAATCGTGGTACTTCAAGAACCTCAAACAACTTGTATTTAACTCAGAATATTCCTTAGACAGCGGGGTTTATCATTTTTAAGAAAAGCCCTAAAAAAATGGGCCGTTTTTCAACAATTTGTGCTAATTCTCTTTAAGCATGTTTGCCGTAGTGCAAAGTTGAATGTCACCAGAAAAGCCATTCAAAGGTGTAGGGTTGTCATGTTTTCAGTCCAATCGTGTTCAAAATCTAATATTGAACTGCAGTAAAGAGGGTCTTGTTTCATGTGCTGTTTAGATAAATACACCTAGATTGAAAAAATGGAGCAAAATTATTACTTTTACCGGCTGGAAATACAAGACATACTGGCCTTGCTCAAATATGTTTAATAACGTAAAACATCGCGTAACCTCAGTTACATACAGCACCGACTCGCTTACAAACCGTGTGAACAATTTCTCGATGGTTTTTTGAGCTTCAGCTATTCATAGCTCGCGCTATAATAACACATCATCCCAAACCATCCCCAAAAATGCGCGAATCAGTAAGGGTTTTACACGGGTTTTAAGCGTTTTTAACGGGTTTTAAGGATTTTTAACAGGTTTTAAGGGTTTTTAACGGTTTTTAAGCGTTATCGGACCAATACATAACATTATCCAATGTTAATAACATATACGTCAGCAATTGAAATGAAATGTGCATAGTATCATAAATAAACACTAGATTATTGGCGAAAATAAGCGATGATTCAGTTGAAAGTTCAAGATCGTATCCTGGACGTACGCAAAACAGACAAAGCCTATTTCTTATTAATTATTCTTGTTATAGTATGGTCTGATCGTCCGGGTGAGTGTAGTCCTGAGAAGAATTGTTATCGGTAGTGGTGACTAACGTTTCGACAACATGAGCGGAAGTCATCATCAGAGTCAAGCGCATAGTTGTTGTCAGTCAAATGTTCTAATTCCGGCTTGTACAAACTGATTGGTCAGTTTTGCCGCAATGTTATTGCCTGCAAGACTCAAGTGGTGTAGGTCGGTCGTGATTGGTCAGTCTCGATCCGTTAGAAAGTTAGGTCGTTCTGTTCGGTTCGTTTGTAATGTTTTAACATGTCGTGAATGAGTCGTTTGTATGGTGCCAGTAGTGATTGATACCTGATGAGGGGAGGCTGTTCTCTTAGTTGGTAAACCAGCTTTCAAGAGTCAGTCGTTAAAAGTAGTTGGTGCCGTAGGTTAGGCATTGCGGAGAGTCCCAGTCAATATTGTGGTTCGTAAGTCGGTGATGTTCAGCAGTGTGATTGTTGACATCGCCTATCCTCGTCGCTAGCTTGTGTTCAGTCAGTTTGGGGTGTGAGGTTCCTGCCAGTCTCACCGATGTAGGAGGCGTGGCAGTCGGAGCAATTGATCTTATAAACTGCTTCCTGTCTGTTCCTCGGTTCGTCTTTGTCTTTGACGTTAGTCAGTAACTGATGTAGTGTGGTAATGGGTTTGTGAGCGACGCGGATATTGAAAGGTTGTAAGATGCGCGAGATGTTCTCGGATATGCCCTGTATGAACGATATAGTCGCTGTAGTAGTAGGAGTTGCGTTGTCGTTAGCTTCGGTAGTAATAATATTCTTGGTTTAAATTTAGAATAATGATCCTAGCAAAATCTGAGTGAACTTCATTTGATTGTGGATTGGAAAGTTATCAGCCCTAGATTTGCTAAAAACCATGAAACAGAGAAATAGTCGTTAAAAAAAATCTAATGTACAACGAGACATTTTGACAAGTAGATATTTCGTTTTTAAAAGCACCAATTTTCAGAGAAAAATTATCATAAGAAATCTCAGTTTTAAAACTGATTTAAGGGCCATGATGTATAGGAAGCAATAATTCAAACATCCTCTTTTTTAACGGGCTATTTATTTGAAAATGTTCAATTTATGAAGAGAGATGTTTATAACAGAGTGTTAAACAGACGTTTAGAGCAGCGAATCGAATTATTAGGAATTGCGACAAAAAATATTTGAAGCGAGACATGAAAAAAATATATCCCCGTCTTTCTTTGTCAAGAGGAAATTAAAGCTGACGGCTTGCACAGGTTATTTATCAAAATATGGTTAATTAAAAACAACAGCTTGCATTACACAGCCATATTTGTTTGCAGAAACTTAATAAATTTCTTGAAAAAAGAAACGCATCAGTAGAGTGGGTAATATTAGAGATGTTATTGAAGAAGAGAAAATCCGGCGAAGAAGGGTAATCAATGGTATGACAAACAGGTAATTCGAGGTAGCAGAAAGTAATTGAGGGAAAGATGTACTTCAAGGGAAGTGACTGATATGAAATTCTTTCAAATTGTGTTCCTCTAAAACAAACATCAGTTTGCGTTGGTCGGCCTTTTGTTTGCAGAATTTCAGCTACTTATTAAAAAGTGCATCAATAAAGCGAGTGATATTTGGAGATGTGAAAAAAGCAAAAGTAAATCCAGGGAAGGCGGAAGAATATTGATCGCAATAAAACCTCGCTACCTTGAAAGTGTCGAAGAAACAAAAGAGATTTAGGATGGGGGAAGTTCGAGGCATTTGATCATCATGGTGGGTGGGCAATGACTCAGAGGAGAAGTTCGAGTCACAAGGATGTTTAAGTTCGAAGTGCATTACTGTCTGCGCTTGATACCCGTTATTTGAGGCTCTTTCCAAAAACCTTTAAAGACAATCGACATGCAGTGAGGTCTGTGCACGGTGTGCCTTGCGTCAAATCTTAATACACCTTTCTGATCTGATTACTCCCCATTAAAAGTAAGTTACATTTAATTTACCCCATCAAATTGTCTCTTCTGCATCTCCTCTACTTTCTCGATAGTTACCTTTCATTTGTATCTCTTCTTCGCCCTCCCCTTGCATCCATACGGAATAACAATGCTTTCTCCTTAACTGGCACCTTTCAGCATCGCAATCCCCTTCGCGTCTACATCGGCCTTTCGTTCACATCTTCTATCTTCATATACACTTCTTTTTCATTTTTTATTTTGTTACCCCCTGTACTTCTTTGTAATCTCATCTCTCCCTTTTGTGTGCATACCATGGTTCTCTTGGGGAATCAAGACGATTGGAAATACAAATTGTGCCGTGTGAGAGGACGCAAGAGTCACTGTTAGAACTAAACTTGAAGCTGCTTCGCCAAAGTGTTCTGTGGAACGAGAGAAAAGTTTAACCCCTCATCTTGCCAGAGAAATTTGCCGCCTCTTTAAGAACAGGTAAATAATTTTTATAGAGAGACAATTTACTGATGGAAGATCGCACAACAAGAACTGAATGTAAAAATGAGAGAAAGAAAGCAATTATAAGCACAAACCGATGTGACTTAAATGATTTCGAATTAAATCTTCGCAGGTGGATCAAACCCTCGAATAATTAAACAATCTAAGATTCCAAGTATTTACAAAATAATGAATTTGAACAATCCTTGATTTTCAGATTTACGATAACCAACTTGTGAAACGCTATCAGATGGGTGTAGAGGAAAATTGGGTGAGTAAAGTTGATTCTTATAACAGAAGGTCTAAAAACTGATATAGTTACCTGCTTTGTGGCGAAGCTCTTGTTCACCGGATTGCAATAAAATTGCACAGGCGTTAGCTGGGAATAGCACACTTTAGTTTAACTATCCAGCGAAATTTAAGGTCACAATTGTGGGAAAAATCCCACGGCAGATCACCATTTTTCAACCCTCAATTAAAGAGAAAAATTTGTTGGTGAATATCTTTGAAAACAAGGTGATAAAAGGCTAAGAGGTAAATATGATAAACAATTTTTATCCTCCCTCGACCGAGAAAAGTTACTCGTATTGTAGATAAACATATGTAATCTATTATGAACATTTTGTACTTAATGAAAGTTGCACAATTATGGATGCGATAAAGAGAACAGGATTCAGGAGACACAAATACTGTTTTGTCCGTCGCAAAAGGTTAGGTAGAAACATACGCAAGAGAGTTTCTACGCCGGTGTTTCCATGCAGTATCGTATAATGTTATTAAATTAGAGGGCTATTAAGTTGGTGATCGAATTTTGGGGAGAAATGCTTAAAAACTAAAAAATTTAAAATCCCCTTGTTACTCAGTAACGGATAAAGAAAACGCTTAGCCAGGTGAAGTGACCGGCTGAACTAAATCTCTGATTCGATTGATAAAACTTACTTTCCACGGTAACATGGACATCATGGTGACAGGGATTTTCTCGTCCTTTGCATAGAAATCCCAGCAGCTTTATAAAGGGTTTACAGAGCGCCGTCCACCTGATGTAGTAGTGTAATCAATGAAATATTTTTTTGAATACTCTCGGCCTACATGAGACATTTTTCTGTTAAGTTTCTTATAATTTGAGCTTTTTACGGAGCTAATACCCTCGTTTCTTCTCAACCAGTTTCTTATTTTTCATTCATGCTACATTTCTCCTTCTTTTCGTGATATCAATTAAAAAAATACTGCTTCAGCTTATTCACTCATTTGATCTTTACTAATTCAAACAACAGGAACAAGGAACTTGGAAAACGACCACCACTGAGACTGAGAGACATCCGTTGGAAGACATCGGAGTTTGTTATACTGATAAGTGTAGTCGATTGATTTAGGCGCTGGGAAATTTCACTGTCGTATTGCGGTTACATAAGTTTCCTTCCCCTTCTTGCCTCAGGCCAAAGGTTTCCTTTATTACGGGAGATCAAGTCCTCTGTTAAGATTCTTTCGTAGAGTTATTATAGATGGACTGAATGGTTAGTCTGAATGACTGAGGCTTCAGTGTAACATTTCACAGTCTCGTTTTGTAACCGAGTCTTCAGTGTAGCATTTCACCGCGCCAGTCTTGTTTTGTAACCGAGTCTTCAGTGTAGCATTTCACAGTCTCGTTTTGTAAACTATTAGTTGCCTTTCAGCCAAGACCCAAAGCTGCTCCATTATCAATAAGAAATGAGAAGAAGGAGTCTCATGAACAAATTATCATAGAGATTGTATGAGTTAGACGCTCAATACCAAATTCGCAAGAGATGGTGGAAACCATCAATTGAGGCGACCTCTGGTTACGCTCGTCTCTTCGCCTCAAAAACTCTCACGGACCTGTTACCTACACTAAAGTTGAGTTCATCATCTAGAAAGTTCGGCACTGACTTTCTTTTCAGGCAATGTTCATTAGTATTACCTTTTCCATTTCATTTTTTTTAATATCTCATTCTTTTATTTTCGAGAGACGTTTTCCAGTCATTAGATTGTGAGTGAGTTTTCACAGCTAAAACCAAGTTAGAAAGGAGAAAAGCTATTCAGTGATTTTGACGGTGAAATGCCGGCAGCTTAACTTCTCCACTATAGCTCAACCTAAACTGTAATTTCTTTTTTATTGATTTCCTTTTTCTTTTCTTTTTTTTTTCTTTTTTTTTTTTTTTTTCACTTTTGCTAAAGGAAGCCTTAAAGCAGTGTTATTGAAAGCGGTGCAAATTAAGAAATAGGCCTGACCAACGCGATATTATTCCTCTTTTTTACTGAAAAAAGATAACAATAATCCTTTTCCTTTTTTTCAGCTTCTTTTCGCCTGAAGAAGTAACTAATCATGCAGAAAAAATTTTTTAACAGTATATATATCATAATTAGCACTTTTATAAGAATCTTCAAAACATACCGACCAAAAATTATCAACGGCAGATAAAACATCTTGCTGAACATTTAAAGCATGATTTACTCGCTGTTTGTTATTGCTATTTACCGCAATTACACAGAACCGCTATTTAAACATTATTCACTCTATTTATGTAAACAACATTCTGGAAAGTTAACTTCCTCAGTTAAGTGCTGGAAAAAGGAAATTCAAAACAATGAAACGTTAGACGATACATCCTCCCGATTCGACATGCTTTCAGTGTTTCTTGCTGCAAAAGGCATCAACATTTAAAAAAAAATGTACCTCTACGCTTTTTGGTATCCAAAGGTTAATATTTCTGTAAGGTTGTGCTAAGTTTTATCGTTCCATCGCTACATATATAGATATATCTGCGCAACGTTAAAAAAACTGTCCCACCCAAATATATACCCTCGGGCAAAACTTTACACCAACCTTCAGGAGATGAATTTACAACGTACGAAAATGGGTTTTTAAGGCCTAAATTGAATCTTTCAAAATCATTTGAACATTTAGTTCCCCTAATCAGAATAGAAAATGTTGTCAATTGGGTTAATAGTGTGGAGCGATACGGAATACTTCAGCAGTATTTTTTCTTTCTCTTCGAAACTGGTCTCGGTATCAATTTTCTTTATCAATCACCTGTTAACTTTGGCTTTTAGAGCCAGAACTCAGAAGTCTCTGTGTCCTAAAATCTCTCACAGGTTAGTGAAAAAATATAAAAAAAAAAAAGAAAGTTTTCATTTAAGTCCATGATATTCTAAAACCAATGAACAAAGGGAAGTCTCCCTGACTCGGATTCAAACTTTAGTCAGATTTAAAAAATAACTGACTCGATTTTATTGACCTATCGTTAATCCAGTGTGATACCTTAAACTGGCTTCAAAACGTTCTATTACTATTAATAATAACTTGGGTAAAAATATCGGTGGTAATTGTTTAGAAATTTCAATGTAGTTTCTTAAGGAATATTTTCCTGAGTCTGAGCGGAACTTTTTAGTAACGGTTGCGAAACAGAACTCACGTTATTTCTGCAAACCCTTCCAGACGTTTCAGACAAAAACAGCTCTCAAATTGAATATTCTTTGCCAAAACCACAACATAGCTTAGCATAACCCCTTTATGAGATAAAAAGCAAAATAGACATATTCAAAACACAACCAAAAGGTATCCTGGCTGTTGGAGTCTACTTTTCCAGTAATGTTCCTTCCGATTTACTTGTAATTGAATAGCTGAGGTCGATTTGGTAATAAAACTGACATTAATGAAGCGCTGGAACGGAACGTACTGTATACCCGCTGCCGGGCTTTAGGCGAAACTAGATTGGATGTATCCGTACTTTTCGTTTTTACATCTGATTTGATATTACTGAATCAGTTACCCCCATGCGTTTTTAAAACGGGGCGACAGCAGAACAATTTGCAAGTGTTTCGCGGTTTTATCTTGCTTTCTTTCTTTGCTGTTTGGCTTAAGTTCAGAGATTAAAAGAATTAACACGAAGTAATCATCTTAAAAGACCGCAGGACAGAAACCAATTCTGCAAACGAGCCAAAGGCAATTTTGATCAGAATGCGAAGAGGCACTTTGGTAATGATTTTTTTTTACTTCTTTTGTATTTTTTTGAGGCATATTTTCATTTGCTGTCTCTTTCTCCTGATGTTTTATTGCAGTAAATATTTACACAAGATAAGTCAAGGTGAAATGTACATAAAATAATGCTAAAGGCACTTCAGAGACTATTCACTGCTAATGAAATAAATCACTTATCACCCGCCAGCTTTTATGTTTCACATTTTGACTTGGCGCGAAGCAGATATCACCCAAGTACAAGTTGAAAAACAACTTTTGTGTGAGAGCATGTGATTTTTCAGCTTCTTCTATGAAGAAAACTCAGGGTCAGAAAAACGGAACATTAAAGTACTTTTAGGGAGGAATAACATCCGTTTTAATTCCGTGCATTCACATCAAATGATTGTGCTTTAATTTACAACTTTTTTCGGTATGCTTTCCGTCTGCTTAAGTGATAATTACAACCACGCGCTGAATTATTTGCCATTGCTAATTGCTGTACACAGAACAATGGAAAAACTATAAACGATTTAATTTAGGATAAAACGAATTCAGCAACGAAGGAAGATAGTTAAATTTTACGGTCGATCGGCGCTACGGGAGAGAACATTGAAATGGACAGAAGGCGACTTTGAATGGGTTCCGGAGCTACAGTGAGTGAGCTTACTTCAGCTGCAAGAAGCGAAGACTCAAACAACAAACTTTTGAAATTTTCTTTTTTCCTACTATAATTATAATTCTATAGCCAGGTGGCCAGCGGTGATAAAGACAGGTGACATCTAACGATTCTTGTTTTATTGACAGCTGGGTGGAATGGCGAAAAAGAGAAAGAATAAAAAGCCATTAATCGGCAACCAACAAACTCCTATTTCATATTCTTTGAAAACCCACGTGTCAGTCACAACCAAGCTTCGAATGTGATTGGCTTGTTGAACTAAGCTAAGTGTCCGGCACAACCCTTTGAAATGGCTTCATTCTTTTTAAGTTTGGAAAGCCGGTTATTTTCTTTCAAATCTGAAATGCTTTTTAGCGCCGCTTCGTCCAAGAGTCAAGTTAATTGTCATTCGCTAATTCTCCAAAAAAAAATTTCCCCACCACAACCTTGAAAAAACAAGGAGGAGAAAAAATAAGTTATGCCAGTCTGGCTGGTTGTTATCGCTGATTAAATACTTTCAAATGATTGAAAAATTGATATTTTAGGGTGACGTTTTTCTAAATAATTCAGTTTGTATTCGTCCGCTAAATATTTTATATAACAACGCATCAAACAGTGTTATGAAAGTCACGTCAAAGTTAAGTGCATAGGGTTTTGTGCGCGAAATGTAACTTTCCTAAGTCAGCGACGTTCAGATTGTGTCGATATCGCTTCTCTGATGTCGAATAGTTCATGTAGTTTTAAAAAATGAATAATGTCTGTTTATTTCCCGGAGGTATTCGACGCATCTCCCCAAACACCGACTTACAATGGGCGTGAATTTCTCCACGAATCAGGCACAATCAACACAGTGTTTGTTGTTTCGTGAGAAATATAAAATGAAACAGTAATGGGCTGCCCTCGGCCAATCAGAGACGCGCTTCAACTAAAGCTTTCTGACATTTGCTATTAATCTGGCCTCTCGCAGAAAGGTGCACAATTCTTCTAAAACGTCGTCAACTAGCCAAGCAAATCGGATGTGGACCAAGAACAACGACACGACATTTCCACTCGGCATGAATACTGATCCTCATCTAGAAGACATGGAAATTGACAAGAACGACAAATCGAAACCTAACGGTAAATTATATTCGCTTTCTTTTTTCTTGGAGAAGAAGTTTTCGGCGCCTTCCTTGCAGTGTTTTGTGTCTAAGACTTGGTTCCCTAACTTTTCAGCGGAAACATTTCTTTATTCACTTTCGATTTTCATTTGATCCTTCAAGGACGTCTGTTAGATATTCCCTGCAAAGTGTGCGGTGATCGATCCTCGGGAAAGCATTACGGAATTTACGCATGCGACGGATGCAGTGGATTTTTCAAGAGAAGCATTCGAAGGAACCGTTCCTATACTTGCAGAGCGACAAACGGGAAGGGAAACTGCCCCGTGGACAAAATCCATAGAAACCAGTGTCGTTCCTGCCGTTTGAAAAAGTGCTTCGAAGTCACCATGAACAAAGATGGTAAGCAGATTCATTCTTTACGGTTAATTACTATGGGCGTTGCGTAGGGAAATTATTTTAAGCCTTGCACTGTAAGCACGAACGGACATTAGGGTGGATGCGTTCACTTTGAGTTCCTCGCAAGCGATATCACCTCACTTGCCGGCATTGTTAGCTTTATTTATTAATAAGGTACATACGAACTTCGGATTTCAACTAAATTTAACATGGTCCTTAAATACGTATATTTACATTTCTCCTATTAACACCCTCTAAAACAAGCAAGGTCGATCGTTTAATCGTTAATCGCATTCTCCAAGATCTCGTTATTTAATCTGGTTGACTTTCAGTTCGCGTAAAGAATGGAGGCCTGAATACGATACCGCGCAGACCTTGAAGAACCAACCTTCCTCGAATTATTTCGGTTTATAACGATAACATTCTAATTTCAAGCACATTACTCATTAAATGCATGGGTTGTTTTATGAAATAAGCACTTTCCAAACCGGATCTTGAGAAGGATAAATTGAAACACTCTCATTTTTTTCCTCGATCTTTCAAAGCAGTTGAGCCGAAAAAAAATAATAATTACAGAGTAGAATTCGAAGCGAACTCTGCGGTTCTCTTTTGTTTTCAGTCTCTTTCAGATAAAATCAATTTCGCCAAAGCATTACTTTGTAAATGGATGGTCTTCCCTTTGTCCGCAAGCGTAGAGCTAAACGGAGCATTATAATAAAATTACGCTAAAATACCTTTTTTCTCTATTGAACGTAAAGAATTAGTGATTGATTTTCGAGCCAAACTTTTAACTTGAGGCACAGTTGTCATAGTCTTGAAGTAGAAGTCATTTAAAAGTCATTTTGCAGGCGGTTCCTTTTAATTCCAGATATAAATACCGTTTTGTTTTTAGCAATGAAAAAACGTTTGGCAATGGAAAAATCAGTTTCTTAACCTCTTCTTCACTTTAATTTTCATGGCAGTGGATGTTTTAAAAAAACTTTATGAAATAAATTGAAAAATATCCCTCGAGCGAAACGACGCAAGAAAGTTTTCCTTCCCTTTTTTAAGTATTAAATACCGCGGTCTTTGAGATTCGTCGGGAATTTGGTCCATAGACAGACGTGTAAAATAATTCTTTAACCTTAAAAAGTTGGGAAATAGATTTCAAAAAAGGTCATGAATCGATTTTCTCTTGTATCCAATCAAAACATCTTTTAACCTAAATTTAAGCGAGTTTTTTAATGACACAAAATAAGCTAGATTCCATGGGCACATAGCTCATTTGTTTCAGGATTTAGAATAATCCTTGAATCATTTACATATGCAGTTAGTATGCCTTTCCTTTTTTTTCCTGGAAATTGGAAATCTTACCAAGCTTTGACACTGAATGAAATGAAATTTAAATTTCTTTACACTCTTTGAAAAAAGGAAAATGCACAGTTTCCTTTCGACAGGAAGGACAACATCAATGAGTTACAATAAGTTCATTAGTTGGAAAAATCGTAAAAGAACGTGTAATTAACGCCAGAAAGCCACAGGAAAATTGCACGCTTTTCAACTTCTGAGCTTTTCCGCTCAACAAAAGCTTAGGATGAAATGAAGGCTTCTGCGCGGATTTTCAATTGCTTTTAAGAGCCGTCGAGAAAAAGAAAACTGATTCGGTTCAAAAATGGGCCCAAGCACACCACATGAGTTTAGAAGCCATAAATACGTTCCAAGCGTTTAAACTTATTTAAAATATAGGAAATCCTTTTCTTTATCACGATGGACATTCACTGCGTTCGGTCAATGAACGTTTGATATAGCCGAAAAGGAAAGCGTTTTTTTGCAAAAGGGTATTCGATCGAGATGTCTTAATGAAGATTTCAGAGGACTGTTTTTTTTCTTCGAGGCAAAACACCAGGAATTAACTTTTATTCATCTTGTTATTTCTGATTTTATAAAAATTAAAACCAGAAACTGTTTCCGAACCCTCGAAGTTTTATCGAATTTTATTGGTTCATATTTAGCGTAGAACGTGTCTATAGTATTTAAATCGATTTTAAACATGTCGGCTTACGTTTGTTGGTTTTTAATGAAAACTGAAACAAGCTCTGGATGAGTCTAAGTTCACATAAGATTACATGAAGTTAATCTTAAATATTTTGCACCTTTCTAAATTGCCACGCGCTAACGCAGAGCTCAACAAATATACAGGTTATCAAGAAACAATTTACTCATGGCGAAGCAATCGCTCGACCAAAATAAGGATTTTTTGTTTATAGGTTTAAAATCATATTTCATCAAAATTGCAACGTTGTAACAATTTTCGTGAGGATTGCCTGCTTTGTTTCTCAATGCCTGAGACACCCAAATCAAAGATAACTATCATATGAGCGGAAAAGAGCGTTTTGCGGAGAAGTAAAGCAACAACGTTAGCTGAGATCGTTTTTGATCGGCCGGGTCTACTTAACTCCTCGGATATAATATCCCTCTTTTTTTAAGTTAGAATTCCGGAATACACCCAAATGCTGATCTAAGCATTTTGCTCAAGGAGAGTAGACCCCTGGTGAGGACAGCGGAACGTTTTGCTCGTTTTCACGTTTTCAGTCAAGAGACGAAGGAATCGATAAGGTCTCAGCGTGAAGATATCGTTGTTATCTTTCGTCCCTCATGTAGCAATTCGCTATGTGAAGACATTTCGTTGGTTCCGAGAGTTTTGTTTTCTAGACTTGGTCAAGTCTGTAATTAGCATTTAAATTGTCTCTAAGAAATCTACTTTTTCTTCTTATTTCTTCTCTGAGAGAAGTCTCAGTTCTTACGTCAAGAACGTTTTCAAGGAAAATAGTCATGCCACGAGCTGTTCCTGAATTATCTTTCATAGCAACAGTCGTATACATACAAGAGCTATGCGAGTTACTTCAGACATTGAATTTTAATCGAGGTTTTCTTTGTTTTGGTTTCTAAGTTTCATCGGTGAGACTCCCACGGCGAGGATCTGCGAAATTCCGTTGCTTAAAGGGAGATAATTCAAATTGCGGCGAGACAGAAATATTTACTAGATCATGGAAAAAACGGCTCAGAAAGGTCGGGAGGCAATTTAGCTTGGACACGTCGTTTCTTGATGAGTGAACGTTTAGGCTCGTGGCTAACAGAACAGATCAAAAAGTTAAGAAGCGATGAAAGTAAAGAAGTAGACGAAAGAGTGTTCATAAAGTTTGGCTCACAATACTCCCCAATACGATTGTTGGGTAGATCTGTTCAAGAATGGGGTTCACGCACTAATTCAGTCAGCTCTTTTCTGCGAAAATACTGATTTACGTCGGGTTTGCCTGTTTTTCGGGCTTTAGTATTTATGAAAAGTGTTTGCGCTGACAGCAATCGAGGTGTCTTCTAATAGAAAATGATGAATAACTTTTGGTATGAATTTCTATCAATTAGCTGTTAAGAGGGAAAAAAAAGACTTTCTCTCCATCCTTACTTGACAATGTGTTAACGACATACTCAACTTGCAAACGTGAAAATTTCATTATCACTTTTAGTAGGCGTCAAATTAAATTGACGCTTCCAATGAAAAGTCGAAGAGGACAAAAATACCCCTTGGTATTGATCTATCGAGTTTCGACCCACCGAGTTTCAATTAAGATATCTGCAGGGATGAAAAGTATCTGCACACTTCGAGGAACTCGATGGAACTAATTTAGCTATTGTTGGACAGAAAACGGAAAGTATTTTGATTTCATCTGTCCCTTAAATAATTAATCTAATCAAGGTTTTCAGGCTCCGCTATCAGGAGATCAATAGTACATATACTATACAAAGTTTTTACCCATTAAAAATCCATTACCAATTTGAATTCAATCAGGTTTAGTTGTTTGACTACGCGCACTTAATTTAACAAGCGTTTCTGGTGCTGAAATCTTAGTTTTTCCTTAAAGGAGTTCTTTGTTGCGACTGAAGAAAACAAGTTTTTTGTGTAGTCTCCTTTTTCCTTTTTGTTATTTTATTCAAACTTCTCTGACTTATGGCACATTGTTCAAGACAAACTTCTATGGAAACGTTAAAACGACATCATCTTCCTGACTATCTTGCTAACTTCGATTAAGGACTTTCAGACAACTGAAACATTTTCTAACTGAAGTCACCCACTTCTGGCGAAAAAAAATCTCGCTATATCAGCAATTTTGATTCAATGCATCCTTAATAAATTACGTTTTTAGAAATACGCATGATGTTTAATCGAAACAGATAACTGATAAAAAGAAAACCTTCAGTGCTCTCGCACACCACTTAAGTCGCGTTAAATGGATTCTTTTCGTTCGTTTATCAGAAATCAGCCTTTGAAAAACAAAGCACTAAAGCTGGCGATAATCACTTTCAAGAGGCGATAATTAAAGTAACAGTTTTCACAGAATTATCGGCAGGGAGTCAACATGACATTAATAATTCAAACTGGCTCAATATACTTCGCAGCAGTGAGTTCTCTCAGGCTGAAGATCAAACCGTCTTAGAAAAACAAAACAACCTGTTAAGCACCTGCGCTCAGCTTTTGAACAGAAACTTGTTGAGAAGAGAGTGAATTTAAGTAAAATATCACTTTGTCAAAGACTCGTTGAGCTAGAAAGCCATTCGACCACAGGAATACACATACCATGCTTCTTATACCATTCTTCTTCATTTCTTTGTATCGAACCGCTGAATATTCTCGTCGAATCGGTGGTTTCAAAACATCCAAATTAATTAAGATTTTATTGAAGTCTGTGCTTTGATTGCAAACGCAGTCGTATTCTAATGACAAATATTACTTTTATAACGAACTTGATTATTATCGACAGGTCTTTGACGTTGTGCGGGTGGGTGTCATATCTTCGAATGTAGATTCTTTGCTTTGGGTTGGGTTAGTTGTGAGTTTAGTAATATGTCTTTATCACAACTTACAAACATCTTCTAATTGCGCGTAATTTTCTTGTATTTCCCTCGTTGTTCTTGATTATCACCTCTGATTTGATTTATCGTGGTGATATGACCTCCCTAATTGACAGAAATATGAATATTTAATGATAATTCTTAGGGCACGTGGAAGATCTAAAGAAGTGATAAAGAAAATTTCATAACAAGGATAGCACACGCTGTTTTGGCTCGTGGACACCTCATTTGTGTTTGAATAAGGCATTATAATCTTTTTTTGACTATTATTAAGTTCATTTCATTTTATTACCAACTGATCTTGATTGATCTTGACGGTTTTGCCGAAGGCTCGTTTTTGTATTGAGACTGGTTTGTTTTTAAGGCAATTATGATTGTTTGTACTACTTTAAGTATCGCACCACCGGTTAAATCTGCAAAGAAGAGTCTCTCACACTTTCAATTTTTCATAATTTCCAATTCAAGTACTGTTCAAATAAAAAAATACAAAATAAAACGTCGCAAAAAAAAGCAGGTAAATAAGTACGATGACGATACGACAGTGGCACTAACAGTTTCCTTCGACCACGCTCTTTGCGTAAAAAACTGCTCTTCTTTGTAGGAAATTTAAAAGACGGCAACATCAGCTTCACCGGAATAAATTTAACTCAGCTTCGGAAACTGTCGCCAACTTTGGGCGACACACAATCTAGGTTGTCTTCTGATTGGTATATAGTTTTTCTTTTCTTTTATTTTATTTTCTTTTTTTTTTTTTTTCCTATTTCGACTCATTCAGTCTCCTTTCCTGTCACAGCTTATCACTCGTCTTGATTCTTCCCGTTGGATAAAAAAAATTTAATCTCGATTGCTTTCGTTCTCTAAAATTTCACGGTATGTTTTAAAATTTAATACTAAGAGTAAACCGAAAAAAAAAGTGAATTGGATGATTTTCTTCGAGAAAATTCCACCGAGAAAACGAGTGCGCTAATAATGACATCCGGGATTTAAGGCGTGCCTCAGGTGACCACTGATGTCCTTTTAATCCGTACAGCTGTCCAGCACGAGCGTGGACCTCGAAGCTCCACCCTCCGGAAGCAAAAGATGCTAAAAGAGGCCCAGGACAGAATGGATGGCGCTACCACTACAGCGCATGTGCAGCACAATACAAGCGGCTTCATCAATACCCTTCTAGCTGCAGAAACTTGCATGGAAGGCTGTCAAGTACCGGCCAACGACTTTGATCTTGGCTTGGAATTTAAACCAATCAGATTTCAGTCGGATTTTTCGGTGTCTATGTACTATTCCAATCCCGAAGCTGTATGTGAGGCTGCCGCTAAGCTGCTGTTTATGTCTGTAAAGTGGGCCAGAAATATTCCTTCATTCATGAGTTTACCTTTTAGAGATCAGGTAAGAGAACGATAACAAGCTGTTTCTTGTTAAAAGCGAATTTTTTTGAACCGTTGATAAGTTTTTCGTAGTCTATACTAAACGTCAATTAAAATTTCAATTGAAACCCCTTGCCTCTCTAAGTTAGGTGTTAGCAATAGATAAAGAGACTCTTGTTTAACTGGATCCAATCCAGGTTATATTGCGCTAACATTTGTCAAACAAGAGGAGAGCGAGTCTTATAACATTTTTCTTCAGAAGACGCCATAGTTTAATCGCCTATAGCCGATTCAAACCACATCGGCTATGGTGATCCCGCTGTAGTTGATACCGCATAGCTTTTCAAGGGAAACATAATTCCTAACTCCTTAATCCTTAATTTACTGTTATCATGCATAGAGTATTTTTTTCAATGAAGCAAACGAGAAAATAAGCTATCATAAATAAAATCTTTTAAGTCAAAATAAAAATTGTTGTTTTTGTTGTTATTTGTTGATGGCGCAAAACCATAATGCAGAACAACTTACCAAATGAAATCAAGAAACGATTTACTAAAGAAAGAAATGTCTTAACTCATGATGGTGCAAATATTTTTCCTAAGGTTATTCTACTTGAGGAGGGTTGGCGCGAATTGTTTTTGCTTGGTGCAAGTCAGTGGTCCATGCCTTTGGAAATTGCGCCAATTTTGTCTGCGGCAGGAATGCACGTAGACAACACGCCTCCCGAGACTATTGTGGATGTCATGGCAACCGTACGCCTAATCCAAGAAACAGTCAACAAATTCAAGGCTGCAAATGTTGATTCTACCGAATATGCATGTCTGAAGGCTATAGTACTGTTTAAGCCGAGTAAGTGAACACGTGCTTGTTCAAAACAAGATTCTCCGTCAACTTAATTGAGACAATTTTCAAACATGGCACTAGAATTCGAAGTAGAAAAAGGTAGTTATGTATAGGGGCAGGGGGATCTGAAAAAGGAACTGTTTCCCTTTCCTACAATCAATCCCTGATAATCGACATGCTATTGATCTTTCAGCTGCATGCGGGCTCAAGGACCCGGAACAAGTGGAGTCCACTCAAGACCAGGCGCAACTCATGCTTGGCGAATATGTTCGTGCCCAATGCCCTACTCAACTGGCCCGGTTTGGTCGCCTTCTCCTTCTCCTGCCAACCTTAAGACGAATCAGTGCAAAAGAAATCGAGGAGCTATTCTTTAAAAAGACGATTGGAACTGTTCCCATAGAAAGATTGTTGAGTGATATGTTTAAAAATGAGTAAGGCATGATCAAGGTAGTCGGTGAATTTCAAATTTTATATCGAGTTCAATTCAATATCCTGACATCCATGACACATTATTATCTTTTCATTTTTGGTGCATATTCATGATATTAAGGGCTTGTGTTGAGGAGTTCCTCTCAGAGACTAATGGAAAAGGAAAATTAAGAGGTTGAATTTAATATATACATCTTTGGCACAAGATTTGTTTGCTGTGAAAAGATGAAAAGGTTGATTTTCTGCTGACGAGAGAGAATCATTTAATTTTGTTAGAAACGAAACAGTTGCAGCCAAACAGAGCACTTTTCCACTGAGTGTCGTAAAGCCAGATTCAAAGTAATGACAAGATTCAGTCAGAGCGGGAAAATATCGCTAGGAACTGGTGAGAAATCAAAATAGAAACCAACGAACTGCCTGTGTCGCCGGGGACGGAAAATGCGATTAAGCTCATCATGTTTTATTTCAATTTGCGCTTGATTGGTTACAAGGTGGCATTTTTTTTCTCTTTTTTCTTCTTCTTTTTTTTTTTTCTTTTTTTACCAACCAATGCGTAAGACACAAAAATCAGACGCAATCGTGAATGACTATCGGCACTCAGTTGAAAACTGCTCTGTACGTAAAGTTTGCTCTGATTCATCCTGATAGTGGGAGTTGTCGTTGCTGTACATGTGCTGCCTCATTTAGAGTCTTTTTCCTACTTAAAACGCAAGGGAAGTAATTTATTCACTTACGTTACTCAACTGGGTTTCTTCCCCTCGTTTCCTCAACGTCTGTCTCCTTATGGACGCGAGCTTTTCAATTAATGGTATCTAACAAAGTAACTTTCATGTAATCAAAAACCACTAAAATTAATGGCGGCAATGTTAATGTAATTAGTGCCACTAGTATTTATATTGGTATGTCTGACTCAAATATTTGCACTTGATGTATGTATGAGCTGATTCCAGGTAGCATATCCGGCATAGTGATATATTACGCTTGGAACAGGCTGAGGTGTGATCAGGTTGAATTAACCATACTCGTCCACGCAATGACTTTTCACCACAGTGGGAAGTCTGGCCTCAGTCAATCGGATCGGCGCAGTCCCGTAAAACGCGGGAAAACAAGGTCACATGCGGATTGGTTGATATTTGCACGAATGCCAGCTATGAGTGGCTGGAAACCACGCAAAGTCTTTCTTTGGAATGAGCTTAGTGTCAGCTTAGAAATTTAAGACCGAAAAGTGAAAAATGTTTGTTTCTTCTGATGTTTCCTTCTTCCTCTTGCATTCGTGCGCATTATATATTCAATGACGGCACTTTGTGCTTGCTGAACTATGGGATTTTTTTTCTATTTAAATCAAAATGTATTTAAAAAGTGAAACGGAGATTTAGCTAAAAAAGCATTGCAAATAATAAGAATATTTAAGCAAAAGAGAGCTAGTTTTGTTGCAAAAAGAAATTTTCGTATCTGTGTAAAACTGTGAGAAAGAAGAGGAAATGTTCTGCTTGTGTAGATAAACTTAAAAGTATTGTGGGGCAAATCAATTCTACAGTAAAGTGTACATGTACGGATTCAGCATTAACACTCTAACGTTTGGCTTTATAACAAAACAGGTGATAACAATTGTAGATAAGAGCCCTAGTAGTCGTCTTTATAGACAACAATTTTCATTATATCAAATCCTTTTACTTTGGTTTATATAATCTGGCAAGAATCAACTCTGCGGACACGGCTTTTCAATGCGTAATAAAGGGCTAAACAAAATCAAGTTAGCTTCGTGACTTTATGTGTGCTTAAGAAGGAACTTTCCTCTTGTTGCGTCTTAGGGAATTAAAAAATACTATATATTCTCAAGGAAAATTGCCAAGTAATGTATGTGTAAATGCATTTGAGTATATTACGAGCATTAAACGTTGCTGTTTCACAGACGCATTTTGCAGTTATGATCAAAACAGTTCGTGGGAAAAAGTTCTTGATCGACTTTTCTTTTTCCATTGAAAGGGAATATCATTTTTTCCTGCTCTACATTGCATCTTATTTTATAGCTTATAATAATATCACTCTAGGATCTTGCAGTATCTCATAATGGAACACGAAGCATGACACTGCTTCTGCTTAAGATCTGCGGCTGAGATTTTCCTACCTTATGTCAACCTGGCGAGTCAATTCCATGTTGTTGTCATATCATTAAAGTACCTCTGCTTGCGCTTTTTCGAGACTTAACAACTCATAGAAAAATTAGATATGAGAATTATCTCCTGCCAAATGCATTGACAAATGAAACAGAAATGTTCATCTGGACGTAGGAAATTATTATAACTTGTTATGATTCCTTATGAGTTTCTGCATCGTACTTCTTGCAGTATCAGTGTGTAACAGCTTCACGGCTATGGCCTTTTTTTCATTTTCAATAAAACCTGAGTGGGCCAGACCTTTTCTTTAACAAACTTGGCAGAAATAATTTTCGCCCCTTTTAAATATGCTAATGATATTCAACAGGAATTTAAGATGACTATTACTATGATTGATCCAAATTGTTGCCTGTTCGCATTTGAATCGCTGGAATCAAAAAACAGGATAACTTTAACATTATTAAGACTCGTTATCTTGTGAGAATGGGAAATTATAGTTCGGTTGTACAAAATCTTTGAGCTGCTGCTGAGGGGGTTTGCCATATTTTTTAGCCAATTTTGATATTTAAAATAAAGACAAGCTTTGAAAAGTGTCTTACGTCTTTTTCGTTTTTGCAGGTTTACTTAGTTTAAGTGTCACAAAAAATGGGTGGGTAACCGTAAAAATACCCTTAAAACAGTATCTCCACCAAGCAAAGCACTAAGCCCTAGGCAAAGCATCCCTTCTACACCAGATGCCTGAATTACGAAACTTACCCAGAACACCCTACCCATTACACCTTACCCATAACACTTTACCCATAACATCCTAGTGAAAAATTTCGTGATGCGACGAAGCGCACCAAGTAAGAAAGTACTCTATACGACTAGGGCGCCTAGTTTGACTAAAGCGGGTTAATTTCGCCTACCACACGACACAATTTATTGCGTAAGTTTTTTCCTCAATGCCATGTATATATCAGAAAAAGCGGAAATTCTAGACCTTGTAGGCGAAAAACCAATCTCTAATTTAGTACGTAGTGAAATCCTCGAGAACCCTCGCGCCAAAAAGTGTTTACCCATGAGGCCTTGCGATGTAACCATCCGGGAGAGTTGGAAATGCAAGACAAAATGGCGGCGCCGAAGGTTACAGATACGAGAACAGAATTAGCCGAACTAATCAAGAAAAGGGCAGAGATCGCTGTAAGTTTTTATCAAATCGTCATTTTTTTTATAAAAGTTGAATCGAAGGGGTTAATTTGGGAGTATGGTCACCGTTTTTTACTATGATTTTTACAAAAATTGTTGCGTGTATTTTGATGACGTCAGCCAAACAGGGCGCCAAAATCAACCCCTTTTATGGTTAATTGGTGGTCAAACGTGCTCTCTAGTTATTAGTTGTTAGTTATTATTAAACGTGAAAAAGTAGTGGTTTTCCTTTAAGGAATATTTCAATACAATTCTGTGGTCCAATGTTATATTGCATTTTTGGCCAATATGGAGGAGATTTGCAATCTTGATCAGTACAGATTGGGATCTTTTGTGGACTCCTCCTCAAAGGAGAAACCTGAATAAAATTTTCTGAATATAATTAAGGAAGAACATGACTTATTGCCCCAAAATAAGTTGCATGCATGGTGCATGTGAGTTGCCAAAGATATAAACAGAAGACAGTATAACTAGGATCAAGGTAATTTTGGTTTTATCAACTGAGTTGGTAATCTAAATTGGCCACAATAAAGAGTTTTAAAGCTGATGTTTTAGAACATTAGTCCTTCATCAGTGCTATTAATGCGGGGTAACGCTCGAAACGTCATCTTTGAAACTCCTTACTGTGGCCAATTTATGTTATCAACTCAGGTGATAAAACCAAAATTATGTTTTTACACTCCCCCACCAACACAGTACCACAGTTTCTTTTGAAACTTGCCCACTTTATAGTTAGATCAGTTTTACTGATATCTCCTTTATAAATTGTGTCTCTGTGTGTGTTTTGTTTCACCTGAAGACTGCTGTTGTTTGCCCAACAGAAAGTTTTGACTGAATATCATTCCAAAATGCTAAGCTCAGTCTATATCACATCAATTACCTAGTTGATTCTCAATGAGGAGTTGATTAAATTACTGAAGAAACTTTTGAAAAGCTTATTTTCCATACTGTTTTCAGTGTCTATTTGCACCATATGTACATTCAAATCAAATTCTGGTGTGAAAGATGATTTGCTTTGGGATGTAAATATTGGGTTATATATAAAGTGCCTGGGTCAGTCTTGTTTAATTCACATTGTCAAATAAACAATTGATCACTAATCTGATCCACACAACATGACAAAGGTGAAGGAACATTGGTAGAATTATTATGTCACATTTATCATCTTTTATGTTGTTCCCTTGTCATTTTGTTACACATGATTCATAATAAATAGTTTTTCTATTATATTTACAGCAAGAAATTCATTTGGATTCCCCCTGTACAATGTAAAATATGGAATGTAAATGCTGGATTCTCCTTTCTCCTTATACATACAGGGAAATTAATAAAGACTGACTGTCTATTCATGCCATAATTTTTTTTCAGGAAAGCCTAGCCAATCTAGAGCGCCAGATATATGCATTTGAAGGAAGTTATTTAGAAGACACACAGCTGTATGGGAACATAATCAGGGGATGGGACAGACTTTTGACTAATAAGTAAGTTAAGTGAACTTTTTCCTCATTAGCTTGAAGTTCTATGTAATCAGTTAAAGTTGCTTAAAGCAATTTATAAAGTACATGTAGATCAGCACACTGATGGTTAACCACATTGTTCTTTCCAACAATTTGCCTGAAGGACATGTGTGATGTGTGTGTAGTTGTTTGGATTTGACCTGATCAATGTTTGTGGGTTTTTTTTTTCTTTAATTTGTAGAACAACCAATACAAAAGTTGAAAGAAGAAACAGAAAATTTAAAGATGCTGAACGGCTCTTCTCCAAATCATCCATAACATCTCATGCAGTAAGCTTGCTATTAATATTTTACAGCTTCTTTTAGAGTTACTTTTTCGTCCTTGTTTATGATGTATGAATTGATGTTTTGCACTTAAATTTTGATATTATGTTGATCAGTTACACGGTAACTCAAATTGAAAAACCTGCTGGAAGAAGCACTAAAAGTAAACCAAAATGCTTGAAGTTTTCCCTTTTGTTGATAAATCTAATCTCCCCAACTAGCTTGTTGGATTGTAACAAATCAAATTCAATCAAAAAAAATTTTAAACCATCCATTCTATGCATGTGCAACTCCATCTGGGGTATGGGTCATTACCTTCCTCAGCATCATCTTCTTTGATCTACTTGCAAACTTTTATTTTGTGATGAAATATTTGCACTAGAGCTCAATCATAAACAGGGTAAATTTTAATATACAGAGCTAAATTTAAGGGATCAGTGTTACCATACTGTGAAACTCATGATTATTTTCCAAATTAGACATGTTCACAAGTCAAAACAAATATGATATAATAATATGTACAAAAGATTTTAGTGATGAAACACCTCCAGTTCTAAACATGCTGCACAGTTGTCTCATTACTTATTCACAAAAATTGGGATGGGGAGGAAGTACTCATTGGAGATTAGTTACTTTTTTAAAACATTTTGACCAAAAGGAGAGGTGTTAATCCACTGAAGGCACTTATTTGAGGGGAGTTGGTTAGTTAAATTAAATATCATGATGTTTCACCGCTTGTCATCAACTTCTAAATGAAGTAGTTTTACATACATGTATGTCAGGAGTATGAAATATTATGGTAAAATTTCAATTAGTAACTTCTGTGTTTTCTGGTTAGGCCATAGCAGCTGGTGGTGGCCTTGCTGAACCACTCCCTGAAAAAAGTAAGTTTAATAGTTGTGCTAAATATTTTGTTTATCATTGAAGATTATAAGAAGCTTAAAGGGAGAAAAAGAGATTTATCCAGACAAACAAGCAAATCTGGTTGTATAACATGATTAATTTTTAGCTTTGTTGTTAATCAGATGACATGCATGTTCAACATCTTGCTATGGCATATACCAATAAAACTAATATTCAAAGACTTTGGATATTTATTATTTTGTTGTAGAGGAACCATCTTCCCATTCAGACCAAATTCATCATCAGCACAGTCACATTGGACGTGTCCACAAAGGTAAAATGCATCTGCCATGCTACTGTGCATCTCATTATTTGTGCGATTTTTTTATTGTAGATAATTTTTCTCCCAGCAAATAGTATGACTACAAAAGAATTGGAAAAAGAAATATTCCCAGTTACAGGGTACTATTACGTTGATAAGTGAATGTGTAATGGTTTGTCTCACAATATAAGAGTCAGGCTAATCAATCCTGTATTGACTGTGATGTTTCAACAGCTATACTGCTAGTCTTTTTTAGGCGATGAGGTGGAAAGTTTAAATGTTGCTATTTATATCACCTTGCTTTGTTGCTATTGGGCTTGTTGCTTTTGGGCTCAATGCTATTGGTTTGTTTTGGCACACTGTCCTTGGTGCATTTTGATCGGACTATTAGATGTTGTTCCCTAATAGGTTTGCTTTGTTTCTGAGTGGCTGTTTACTATTGTGTTGTTTGGTAACAAAAGTCCACTGACCTTTTTATTTTTGGATTTTGAGTATTAACCCTGATTGTTTTTTTTAGAAAATTTACTCATAACATTCTACTTTATCTCAGTTCACAACTTTGGATGAAAACAATCAGTTCTCCTTAAAGATAAAGACTCATTTTCCAACATTCTATATTAATGTGGAATCATTTCTTACTCTTTCATTTAAGGCTCCCACAAAAAGAGAAAGCACAAAAGACACAGGTAATATTGGCTGTTCAGAAAAATTCCAAGTTACAAGGGAAGTTGAATCTGACTGGAGTGAGCCTGATAGCGCTTTGAAAAACTCAATTTTAACTTAGTAATGTGCATGGTTATGAAGTTGAGGCACACGTAAATAGCAGAATCAGATTTCACATTAAAACTGAGAAGGTACACTAATGACATTAGATGTGATGAGCTCTGAAACCTTTGACAATGACTTTGCTCTAAGTTAAAGTAAAAATCACTTTTTTCAATTTTTATCATTATTTGATTTGACTTTTTCCTATTGTTTTTTCCAGGATTGAGTTAAGAGTGAAAAAAGCTGGCCATAGGTCAAGAGAACCAAGCTTTGGAGAGGTATTAGAACTTAATAATAGACAGAGGGGTATCTTATATTGAAGTATATGTAGGCAGTTGTTACCAAAAAATAGATGGTGGTGTTTGTCAAGTTTGTAAGTTATTTGTATTGTCTCGTCTGTCACCTTTTGAGTTGATCACTGAAGAAGCTGTGGAAAACTTGTGAATTAAAACCAGCAAAGGTTGACGAGGAGAATTTGTTTCACAATCAAGAGCTGCTTTAGTTGGTGATCATCTCCTTTATTCTCATGACTTTCATGTTTGAGTCAGGGGTGATACAGTAAGGAGAAATTAGATGCTAGTCACTCCTAGGGCTTAAAGGGTTAAGGAAAATTTTAACTCCTGAGTCCCCCACCCTTAAAATTTCTAAGTTGTAGGTATGTTCACGGGCTTACCCGAAAGCAATGTGGGACCATTCATTTTATTTAAATTGTGATGTTCTTTTCTATTTTGTGTTTCGTAGGATGAACATGAAGATTAAAAGATCCTCCACAATTATTTGTGCATCAGAATGAAATTTTTTGGCAAGAAATTTTCTTGCATGTGAGAAAGATGTTGTAGAGGAGAGAATATAGGCATCTGTGATAGGAGAAATTATGAAAGATGGAGAACATGTCACTGAAGCCAAATGCAGTGTTTAAATTTTTCCTTTTTTACTATGCTGACTGATATACATTCATATGTTACATAGATTTTTTCCTAACGGTATAACTTACTAATTAGTATCATGAGATGAAAATACCCCCATTAAGATTTTGTTTTTAGAAACAAATAAGTAAACAAATTCTTCAATTTAGTGTTACTAGTGTTATTACTGTCTATCCTCTAGCTACAGAAAGAGTAAGACTGGTTACTTTACCTCATTATATTTCGCATATCTTTAGATTTCGATTTCCTCATATGTTTTGAGAATCTGTTTTTTTTCTAGCCTCGCTAAATGGCAAAATATTAGTATACACATTTCTTTATCATATCTTTTCAACTGTATCATATTGCAACATTGTATATAAGTGTAAGTCTTTTGATCATAAAGAGTAATTATTCCAGCTGTTTCTTTCAGTTTCAGTGGCGTTTGATTTAAGTTAATAGTCATAGTGCTTGCATAATATATATATAACAGAAATAAAGCAAGCTACTTTTAAGTAAATTTCTACGTGTATATTACAGCCTGTGCAGGTGTCCTTGAACTGGGTGGACAGTTTCCCTTGGTTGAAACCGCCTTGCCCCTCCACTCAAAGTATGTTACTAAGATCATGGGCTCATATACTTTGAGCAAAAATACGGCACAACGGCTTTAGTCATGCTTCCTTAGGTTTGTGACCAAGCTCTCCAAAAGGTCCACCCGCGACCAGTGAAAGTGCTTGCTAATGGACTCACTTTCTTAAAATTGACTTCCTCGACACCATCCTATTCCCCGCCATTTTGGTTTTACCCTTGTCAATTTCAAAGACAATACTGATGGCACCGCCGACAAGCGTTTCGGAGAGATAGGAGTGCGTGGAAACTAGCGTGCGTGGCGTGGCGACTAGTTCAGGACACAAGGGATACAAGGGACCACGGAAGGCCTCTCGCAATCGCCCTTTCCTTTGCGTGTCTTTCGTATCATGTATTTCGTTTTGTTTCGGCAAAGTCTAGGTGCGAAGAAGTGATATGGGCATGAAAAATTTTTCAGTTCCAGCGATCCTTCGATATTAAAATAAAAGCTAAAAAATTAAGACCAAAATAAAAATTTCCTGTGTTGTGATTTAAATTATATCGTAGAAGCCATGCCGTCAGGCCGAATCCGATGTTATCAACGTTTTTCTACCTTCAATTTTATTCGCTTTAAGCTTCTGCGAACTGTTTCTTCACGAGACCAAACAACTGTGGCACCACAAAAAGGAGGAGGAATGAACAATAAACTAAAAAGCTAAAGTAGGATGGCGTGGTCAATCAGAAAGCAAGCCAATGTGTCTATTACAATTTATATAATAAGCTCAGTTATGCACGCATTCTGATTGGCTCTCACTTATGATCTATTGGAGGACAAACGTATAGATGACGTCATCATTAAAACGTTTTTTCCGTATATTTTAATTCTCTACTATATAAAACAAATAGATTCCAAGTTGCCGTGCGTCTGTTCAGTAATAGATCACAGAGGACGTCAAATGTGGTAAGAACATCAGTGGCATACTCGGCTGCGCCTTGTGTGCCACTTTTTTGTTCTTACCACATTTTGACGTCATCTGTGATCTATTACTGAACAGACGCACGGCAACTTGGAATCTATTTGTTAATTGGCCACCGTAAAGAATTTCTAGAGCTAACGTTTTGAGCGTTAACCCTTTGTCAGGGCGAACTTTGCCGGGTTAACCCTTTGTCTTTCGCTCTGACAAAGGGCTAACGCTCGAAACGTCAGCTTTGAAACAATTTACCGAAGCCAATTTACATTATTAACTCAGTTGACGAAGCCAAATATTATCTTGTGGTGTAAATAGATGGAAAGATAGAGCAACGTTCTTGGTGGGAACATGGTAACGTGAAAAACAAAGGAAGGAATTAGTTGAATGGAAAGTGTTATTTTTTTATTTTTTATTTTTTATACCATGAGGATTAAGAGTTCCGATGTGAAATATTGATTTTTATTCTAGAGTTTTGCGGCTTTCCAAACTGCCTAGATGTAAGGAGAGGCCGAAGACTGCTATATGTTGCTCAACATGACTTGGGAGGTGGAAGTGTCTAGGGACTAATTTGGATGCGTCTGTCATTCCCTTTTGTTCTTGACGAAGGTGTTTGTGGAATCGGTCGACGAGTCGTCTTCCTGTTTCGCTGAAGTATAAATTTTTGCAATTTGTACAAGGTATGCAAAAGTTGACATTGGCGGAGGTACAGGAGAAATGATTGGTGATCTCAATGATTGCTTGGATGTCGATATTACCTCGGCAACGTTATGAATGAAAAGACAACGTTTTGCATCGTGCGCGCGTGCATTAAAAATTACCGTGTAAAATAACGTGCCCATTGTGTCTGGAAGTTAAAGGAAAACTGAAAAATAAATTATTAGAAAAATGTTGCAGTTTCCCAACCAAAACTAGTAAAACTATATTTTGATAATAAAACGAGATGATGGTCCCTACGGGACTGAAAAGGATGTTACTGATGGGTGAGTCTGTTCCTCCTTCCGCCAGACTTTCTTAATTCAAAGGCAAACACTTTATTAAAAAAATGAAGATCCGAGCAGCCATGATGAGCTATGAAAAGGGGCAGAAAAGCATACATACTAAGAAAGATCCACCACCAAATCAATATGGTAAATAATTCTTAAATTTCTATCTGTTAATGTAATGGAAAGGTTACAGGAATTATGGAAAACTTGCCAAAATGGCCCATTCGTTTTCAAAATAACCATTGCTGGCAATCATTTCTAGTTTAAGTATAAAGAACTCCAAGATCTTCTCACCCGATGCTAGATTATTTCAAAACTCTCTGTACTCTGCGGGTACAGTACATGGCTCAAAGTCCGAGTAGAGCTTCTCTTTGTGATGCTGATAACCTTTACAAAAAATACGATCCTTTCAAACAGAAGAGGAGAGCGCCCAATGGGAAACTTTGTTTACAAACCAAGTTCTTTTGTTTCACGAAGAGGAGGGAAAATCGCTGGGAAGCCGCCGTGCACCCCACAAATGCGCGCCACACTGCTACGATCTGATTGGTCGACATCTGCCTGGCGCGGAACTCAAACTTGTTGCTTTGCACGTTGGTCTGCAGTTTGCTGCGATCTTTTGTACGAATAGTTAGTCGACTGGAAGCATGGCTTCTTTCATTGGAAAACATATGATTTTTCCTTCGAATTGCGTTCCTAAATCCATGGCGGATCTCAGGAAATACGAGGGATTTTTCCCAAACATGAGTGGAGCAACTTATGATCCCATTTCCCTTCTAAACGAGGAAAAGAATCTTAGACGTGCACAGAGTGGTGGCTTTTCCTCGGACTCAACTCGTTCATCCCGCGATGATGACATCTTTTCGAACACTGCATTTGCATCTTCGAGGTACGCTATAAATCTTCATGACAGGGAGTTTTTCCGAGTAGGCCTGACAGAATCTTTCATGTTTTCGATAAGTCCAATCATGTGTGTATCTTCACTGAAGTACCAATTTGTCTTTTGGTGCTCACGGAATTTCATGTAAATTGTTTCTATCGTGTTTGTTTCTTCGTGAAGAATAGATCCTCAGAGAATTTTTGCTGCCGTATTTTCTACAGGGTAAAAAATGCTGTGTAGAAATTAGTAAAAGAATCAAACCAGGTGGAAATAGCTTTATTTTTTCCAAAGTGAGACCTTTTCATTTACAAAGAGGAAGGCCAACTTGGAATCATTGTGACTATTTGCATTTCAAAGGATGAAGCTGCGAAACGAAGTATTCCTTTCTTCTCTTGACAATGAGTTGTAATTGCTCGACATCCAAGAATTTTGATCAGATGGGCAAGGTGAAAATAGTTTGTCTTACGGTTGTTTGTTCATTTTTCCGAAGAAAAATTCCGGAAAACCGTGAACACGATATGTTTATTTTGCTGTCAATTTTGTAAACGTCTGTTGTCAATCAGTTTGATAGCAATCTTTTAATTTATCCTAAACAAAAAAAAGTCTCTTCCACTTGTTTTGACAAATCTTATAATATCGTATCAATTTCATAGCTGACACAAATGTACTTGTATTGTACTTTTAGCAGCGGCGATGACAGCACTGGATCAAGTCAAACGTCTCATGACGTATTCAACGAGAGCGGCAAAACAGTGTTACTGAAGACCCCGCAAAAGACTTTGGCTAAGCGAGTGAGCCCAAGGAAACCTCTCAAACCAGTTAAAAGTGTGAATCCTTGTGATCCAGGCTTTAAAGGTGTCACCCTCCACATGAAAACAACGCTGAAGAAAGGGAAGAACGGTTTGAAAACTCGATCTGAAGCGCAGCTGGTGATAGATTGTTGCTTTACTTCTAAGAAGAGACGTCGCTGCTCAAATCTGGAGCTCGATATGCGCGAGTGTAAGACATCGAGAAGAAGGCTCAATTCACCAGGGGTTAATCCTTCCATTTTCAAGCTTCAAAGCTCTCCCGAGTCAATGTTTAGCGACAGAAGCCCGTCCGATGTGGACTTGGGAACAGCGCCGATCCAAGTGGAAAAGGAATGCGCATCCTGCGGGACTTTCAAAACTCCTTTGTGGCGTGATGCGGAAGATGGCACTCACTTGTGCAATGCTTGTGGAATTAGGTACAAGAAGTACAGGATCCGTTGCGTTCGATGCTGGTATATCCCCAAGAAGGAGGAGAAAGCATTACCGTGTTGCACTAGTTGCGGTCATACCTACAAAATCACCTTGGGTCGCAAGGCTAACCCATTTAGCAGCAGCGAGTAACAATTTTACTCCTCTGGAGTGGAAGTGTTTGGTTTTACTCAGATTACTGCGATGATTTTTGAGTGTTTTACAGAACAGTCTATTTAGATGGAACGTTGAATTGGCTTATGTTAACCGTCTTATTGTAGTATATACTAACCGTGAGTGGGATACAGTGATACATGGACACGCTTGCGTTTAAAAACCCTCAAGTAGTTACAAGACGGATATGGACCATGATGATTAACATATCAAGGAACGAATACTATTTTACTGCATGCTGTTCAGTATTCAGAAAATTGTAGACATCATTTGTAATGTTGACCAATATTCTGTCGCTAAAATTAATGATAATACTTCTGTGTTACGGGTGTCAACTTTGTACTTTACTCATATTACTGGACTACTTGTTATCAAGCGAGGTAATTTCGTTTTACACTTTTGTAGTTTTTACAAGGTGTCTACAATTTTATTCACTTCGTAATCATGATATTTCATAACTGGGTTGATTTTTCAGTTTTTGTCATTGTTAAGGTCAGTAATAGTTTAAGGTTTTAGGAGAGAGATTTGAAGTTTTCAAGGGAAGGTATATATTTAGGATGGTCACGTAGGAACACGTTCATACGTGATTCGTGGAAGGAAACTAAATGACATCACAGTCTTTAGCTGAAAAAAAACGACAACAAAAACAAACGGTTGGTTCGTCACAGTCCTGGATCATAACTCCCAATTTTTAAACGTTCACTCTTTAGTGTTATTTTCAAATTATATATTTAAATAATGGTACCCCTGACAGTCTTTAATTTAAGGTTATTTATTTAATTTGTGTTGTAAAAATATTTTGTTGTCAATTAACATTGGTATTTATTTACAGCACTTTAAATCTTCTGCAATCTTTGGGACTGATGGTTTTTTTTATTTAGATTTTTGCTGGATGCAAGCTTTGGTTGTTGTATATCACTGCACAATGTGTATAGAAGTATATTGGTATACCTGTATTTCTGTGGAGTTGTGTGGAGCACTAAAACTTTCCTTCTACATAGCTCTTGGAAGTGTATATCACTTAAGAAATTTGTTGTTTAATTACGAGATGTATCCATTAAAACAACTACAACGGCTTTGCAAGATACATCCATCTGAAAGTATGGAGTAACATTTTCATTACACATTTTTATATAGAAGAACCTTTTTTATAAGAACGTGTAGGCTGAGATAAAACCAAAATTTTAAGAACATACCTGGGCTGAGAGTCAATTAAGAACGTCTCTATTTTGCCCTTTTTTGTAAGAATTTTAAAATGAAGGTAAAAGAAACATCAAACTGTGGTCTCACAGGACGATTAATTACATGCTTAGAGGCCTTTTTGGACATTAGTGATGCGGTTTTGATTTCTTATTGCACGATACACTGAAGAACAACCCAGTTAGTAGTCGTACTTAGTCTCGTCACGTCCGAATTGATTTAATGAAAGACAATACACCACAACTTTAAGAACATGTTAAGAACGTTTTTGGGCTCAAATCGCAAAAAAGTGAACGTTCAGCCTCAGCCCCAAACTTAGACGTCCTTATATAAAAAAGAGTATTCCTCTTTCAACATTGCACAATTCTTGTGAGTGTTCATTGAGTGTACCCTGACGTAGATCCATACTCAGTAAACCGTTTCATTCGACTGACGGGCGAGCTTCAGCTGTTATTTGACTTCACCCCTTTCCGTGGTCATCGTGTTAACTCGTTTAAATGCTGCGGCGTTCATTTTTAAATTTTTCAGCCTTCTCGGTCAGCGTTTCGATAAAAATCCTCTCTCACTAGCCTGCCAACTGAGGCGTAATTTTTTTTGCGTTTTTCAGTAGAACGGAAGCAAGCGCGAGACGAGCGCAAAGTGCGAGTTACGTTGTCCACTGTCTGAGTAACATCTTAAAATAACTTTTGGTGATGTCTGTCACTTTCTCATTCATGTGCTCAGTACAGTTGATAGAATCCTGTCAAGCATGTCGTTTCCCCGTGTGATATAAACTCAAGTTTGTTTGTGAATGAAATCATTTACCTTCTTTCCATCTATTTTCATCGTTTTGCAACATTTTAGGTTCTCGGGTACATTTTACGGACAGAAGACCTGTTGCATGGAAGAACATTGTTCAGTGAAATCGGAGAGCTGATGTTGGGTTTCCAAGAAAAATAATTTTCCACTTTTACCAATTCACGTTTATTGCATGCGAGTTTCCTAAAGTTTAAATAAGTGGGTGTATGGCAGGGACTCGATTTTGAAATCGTTGATTGAGTTGGTCAGGGAAACTTAACATTTGTTGAGGAAAGGTCAGGGGATTTCAAAAACCTAAGTTTGTTGCAACCGTAAAAGTGAAAACATGTGCGGAAGGAGCAAGAGTGTGCAATGATCAGCCATCGATCAATGGATAAAGAATCCTCAGGGTAGTCTCATGCCACGTTTTTGCATTCACCAGGGTTCCTTTTTGCGAGTTCTAAGCCGGATAATTCGAATTTTGTTGAGGTATTCGAATGTATTTAATAATCAGAATACACGAAGTTCTCTGGAAGCACAATTTTATTCTTCTTTGTTTCAAATTTGACCGAGGGAATTGCTCCAGTGTGAAATAAATACATGTATATTTATATACAGTACAAACATAAATTTAGATTTGCCAAGCGAGTTACAAGTAATAAAAAGGTGCAATCCTTCGCCAACTAAACCGTTGAAACTTTCCTGATCTGACCATCGCTTCCGTTGTATAAATTCACTTCCTTTTACGAAATTTTCCACGTCATGCCGGATCAACCAGCCAGCAATAAGAATGAAGTATTCATTGTATGGCCAGTGATTGAAGCATGGTGTTCGTAATGGGCCAATTTCGAGGGCTTGTGTAGTTCCCTGGCCGTGATGAGTCTGCGGAGTCCGGTAACGCGGCAAGTTCGCGTCTATCTGGGTCCATGTCCATAGGATGAGAGAAGACTGGTTTCCTTGTGCCAATCACTGAAAGAAGTTGTAGTTCCATTGGTCCAAGGCGCGGAGAGTCCTGAATTTGAATTGGACAGAAAGTAAATTATTTTCAATCTGTGTGTTTCTTCTCCATGCATATTACATTTTGCTTTATATTTACCTCTTCGGTGTTTGGTAACACTACTTAACTAATATATAGAATATATAATTGACAGAAAAAGAAGTCATCATGAACTAGCCCCTTTCATATTCGAACTTTTAAGGGATTTAAAATTGCATTAAATGTATCATGTTACTTGGATAATTACGTCAAAACATTGTGACAGAAATAACTCCTTTCACAAGCACTTACCTGAAAATCATCCTCACCAGGGAGGAAATAGTTATCTAGCAGATCATCCGGTTTTTCATTTTGTTCTCCAAGGACGCCATGCGAAGCAATCACCTCTTCTCCATCATCTTCAACATCGTCTTCATCTGAACTGTCCTCATCCTCTATACAACTCAGATAAAACTGCCTGAAAAGTAATGTTCCCCAAGTTACAAACATGATGGTTATGCCTATTAAAAAAGAGCCTACCACCACAGCATGCAAGAGGAAAGAAAATGATTCAAACGACAAAGTAAAATAAATAAATAAATATGTAAATAAATGAACAAAAACAAGATGAAACAAAATTTTAATAATCAAATGAAAAAAGACTCAATGGCCCTTGAAGAAACAAAATTTAGTCTTCCTTTGCAATCAGTCTCAAAGTTGTCCACTATTGTTAGCCATCTTTCTTTCTTTCTTGATATTATATCTCAGTCCTATTTGACCACTGCTCTGCTACAAACCAGATTCAAGCACACTCTACTAGACTGAGTTAGACTGATCAGTCAACTCTGAACGTGAAGGAAACTTGGGCCAAATGACATTCACCTACATTAGGGGGCTACAAGCACAAAAAAAAAAGACTGACCGAGTGAACTTGAGGTCTTCAACCTTACAGTCAAACATCTCACTCATGATTTCCAAGTTTCTTTTTTCCAAGTCCTCTACTTTTGCTGACAGGTCAGCATGGCCTTCACGATGAATAGCAACCTAATAAAATTGTTTTTAATTAGAGGTTCAATTTTTTTTATACACACCAAAGTGAGCATAGTTAATCCAGTAACAAGTCAGCACCCCAGACAAATAATATAGCAGCAATGTCTATCGTGTTTACTAGGTGGCTGTATGCTGCAGTTCAAATCCTGTTATATTGGATAAAACTCCTTCTGCCTTTTGGAGAGCAAATCATCTTACAATAGTTGATATCATTGAGGTCTTTGAGGAGACTTCCTTCCAATTATCTAATACTTCTTAAAGTGTAGTGTTGCATGAGGACATAAATAAAATCTGTGAGAACTCAGACTCAATATTCATGATACTAAACCTCTTTCTTGAGCCATCTGTGGTCCAAAATTTCCCCACAGCTATCCTTGTCCAAGTTATTTGTTGCTTTCTAAAAAAAAGGTGTACTTGCTGTTTTAAAGGAAAGTCTCACTTAAGCCTCGACCTTTGGTGACTAGCATCTGCTTTCTCCTCTCAACATAAGCCCAGTGACTCAAACATTAAGATCATGAGAATAAAGGAAATGATCACCAATCAAACAAGCTCTTGATTGTTCAACAAATTCTCCTTGTCAACTTCTTAGGATATGTTTGGAGAACAGTATGTAGAATAAGCATCCTGATATTAGGGTGTAAAGGGTTAACGAAAAAGAACGGGGAACTATTATGGGCAAATAAGTTTGAATATAAAACAGTATAAAATATAAAATCAAATAATTATGTTATCAGTGACCTATACCTCATTTGCTATATCCTTCTGTTTGGAGATTGTTGATTCAGTGTATGTTTCAATTTCATCTTTGGCTATCTTTAAGCTTCTTTCTAGATGAGCTGTCACAATTTAGAAAACAAAAACTTTACAATTATGGCCCAATCAGAGGGAAAAAAATTCACAAATCTTCAAGGAAAAATTTTTTGAACACAACTATAAATTAAATTGGCAACTTTGAAAATGACTCAAACTTACAAATGAATGAAAGTATCAAATTTCCTTTCCTAAGGAAGTAAAACTTTCCTTTGCAAAGGAAAACTGTAACATCAGCCCCCCCCCCCCCCCCCCAAAAAAAAAAAAAAAAATAAATAAGTAATTTTTTAAAAAAAGGAGGAGGAAGAGAGTGCTGATGACATTGTAGTTTTTCCAGTATCAATTGGAATGTAAATAGTTGGCTATTTACAAAGTGCAGCTGAGGAGTAGAACTTAGGGTGACCAAGAGTAAATTCAGTGAATACCAGGGTGGAGGACTTGAACCCAGGAACACCAGATTACAAGTCAAGTGCCCTGACCACTTGGCCACACTGCCTCCTCAAACTTGCATTTTTAATACAAATAAAAATTTGAGTCCTTTACCTGCAATGTCATCCTGAGAATCCTGCATTTCTCTCAGATCTTGTTTCAGTAGCACTATTTGTTTTGCATGTTCCTCTGCACCTATATCCTGTGTAACACAACAATACAAGAGACTAAGCAAACTCAGCTGAATATTTTTTTGTTGACAAGTAATATTTGAATTAACAAATTAAAAACTAGCGTGTTCCAGGCATTCAGTCAGTAGACCTTTTGTTCTTCCTCCACTACCCCTAAACTGAACCTCTACACCAGGCTATAATCATTTATTATTTAACTCAAATAAGATAAAACTTAAAGAAATCATTATTTCAATAGTAGATTGTCAACTAGTTACAACAAAATTTTAATGACAAAAAATCCATCAGTGAAAGGATAATATTTGCCTTTTTATATAGTACAATAATACTCATAACAATAATAAAAAAATATATAGCTTGAAATGTGTAAGTTTTCAGCTTAACCATTACTGTATGTGTTACATGTTGACAGATATTGAAACCTTGCATATTTCTTGACATGACAGTTACCACACTTTACAAAATAAAATATTTAAACAATTATTATAGGTTTCTAATACAAATTGAAATGGACCTGACACAACTTTTAAATATCATATTAAACCTTTGATATACATAATGTAGTGCATACCCTGTATTCCTGGAGCCTTCTTATGTCCCTGCGTACTTCTTCTATTTCAGCTTCTTTCTTTTGAATGTGATCATTTTGTGCTAATGAATTAAGAATAAACCATACACAGATTCAAGTTTGTCAGATACATATTTAAACAAACATTTGCAGTCTAACGTACAAACTTAAGATTTATGACAAGCATATTTCAGTGAGCATTGCAATAAAGGTGTAGTTTGTTATCCTAGTGAAGCATAATTATGATGCATCTTTGATATAACTGAGATAATACACATGTGAATCACTTAAACAGACTAAATAAGCCAAAATGCTAAAAACCAATGAGTCACACACTATTTTATAAAGTTTCATAACCATTAATAGATCATTCTGCATATCAAGCAAAACACAATAATATTATACCCTGAACTTCTGCTTCTTCAGCCTTCATCAAGTCAAATTTTTGCAGTAAAGCAGCCTCAACTTGTTCATGTCCAACCTCTGCTGCTTTCTCCACTTCCTTATCTTTTTCTTTCACTTGTTTTAAAAGAGTTTTAATATGCAGTAGTTGCTCCTCCTTGAGACGTTGGTTCTTAAATAAACAAACTCACGTTAATTTACATTTACATGTACTTAGCTGCAATAAGCAATTTTTAACAGACTTATCTAATAACCATTGGAAATGTTATGAACAAAAATGTGAAATGCAGAATTGATGTGCCACCAATATGTGAAGAGTAAACTACCCACAGGCAAATTTCTATTGCCGAGTTTTTCATACCCCAGATGAAAAGTACTTACTTCTGATGGGTGAGAGACACAACGACATTATGGTCAGTGGAATGGATTCTGGTTCTAGAGGTCTGTATTCGAGATCTTGCCGAGCCTGTTGTGCCTCTCTCCACTAAGGACTAAGGGGTTAAATGGATTGGGTAAAGGAGAGGAACTGTCAAGGAAGCTTGATGAAATGCTGGGGGGGGGACCTGCATTAGACTAGATCCCATTCAGGGGGGAGTATCAAAACTCCCACTTGCTTCATGCTATAGTGAGATAAGCTCAGAATGGACGGGCTCAAGTTCAGACTTTACCTTCTTCCCTTTTATTTGACTGTACTCTCACAGCAAGTGTGAGGGTAAAGCCTCAGGCCCAGGAACACAACACAATGATCCACCCTAGTCTGGAACCCTGACCTCTTTACAGAGAGTCCACCAACCAAGTCACAGTGCCACTGTGTCTCTCTAGAATACAACAGAAAACTCCATCCCTTACCCTGTCTTTTAGTCTTTCATTCTTTTCCTTGAGGGATTGTAAATCATACATAAGATCTTCAAAATTCCTCTGTTTAACTTCTATCCTGAAATTTGATCAAAAATGAACAAATAGCAAAGTGTCATTGCTTTGACAGACTGTGCAAATAGTCAGCATGTTACAAAACATACAAATAACAATGTTGACCCTATTAAAGCATCCATATATATCTACCAGCAAAGTTGAGTTGGTTCGACAGATTAGTTAAATGTTTAGCATTTCATAAACATAGGCATACTATGCATGCAAGAGCTATATTTTTTAATTGAATGAATTGAGATGGGACACTAAATAATTGATGTTTGCATTTTTGTGAAAGAAAAAGAGCATTAACTTCATAAGATTCCGACGAAAATATCATTCAATGGAGAGAAAAACAAAAAACCTTCCACTTAATCTGAAATAAAGTTAGACACTAGTGTTTCATGGTCTATTGTCCCTGGTGTCCAAATAATTTTAAGCAAAACTAAACTGTATTGGTGCAACACTTACTGTAATCTCCTTCACAGCTGTTGTTTAGTCTGGTCAATGCAAAGCACTCTCTTCCCTGTCGCATGACAAGACCAAACAACAGCTGTGAACAGGATTATGCTAGCCTGGGAGCAGGTCTTCATTATTTGCATTTGGTCACAAGTGTTTCTTTCTCTGGGGGAAAGTATCAGGCCTTGCGCAACACAAGCTAGCAAGAGGTCTGCAAGGGTTCTGGGCCCAATAATTAATGTTGTTCCTTTGTCAAAAGAAAAATTCAAAAACACTGAAAAGAAAAGTTGACCCATTTAACTACCATTGCTGAATGTTAGCTGCAGCAATTATGTTTTGTATTGAAAATAAATTAAAGATTTAACGGCTTTATGGCTCGTTGCTTAGCAGTACTTAGCAGTCTATTTGTTCAAAGGATAAATCGATTTATTTCTGATGAAGTAATGTTTTGGGAATACCATCAATGAAAATGCACAATCAACATTCGACAAGAAATACCAGTAAAGTAAAAAGCAATCTCTTCCATAAATAAAAAAAACTCACTGAAAAGCAACGATAGCTTCCTCGACTGTCAACTTTGGTTCCTTTGACGCACCGCTCTTCTTGCCCTTCTTTTTCTTCCCAGATTTCTTTTTGCCGGATTTCTTCTTAGGAGGCATGTTTAAGTGTTCAGTATCAATAGAGTTACTGAAAAGCGCTTATTCATGCGACAAAATTAGCATTTCTATTTCACCTATGTCAATCGCCTTCAGTTACCGGGCCAGCAAAATAACAACATTGATCTGGAAGCCGTTGATTGCAAGGAGACTGGCTCTAATTGATCCGAAAAGGCCACTGGGAAGAGATAGTTGTGCGGACATCTTGGGCTGTGATTGAGAGGAGGTAATGGCAACCACCAGTGAAACTGGAGATAGACTTGATACTCGAAGGCTTGAGGCAAAGAAACAAACCTTAGATGATGCTTACGCAGCTCCAGCGAATTTCCTAGAGATCGATGTTGTCAATCCTGAGACGCATGGAGTCGGTAAAAAACGGTACACCGACTATGAAGTGCGGATGAGGGTTAGTACAAATATTATCCTTATATAGTCTTAATGAAACGCAATCTAACAGAATTTATTGGGTTTCTAATTTGTAAAGATAAGTGTTAAGCTAACTTAAGTCGCTTTGATGCATTCATACGAGTTGAGGACGTGTTTATTTTTCTTCACATGCAATCTACTAAAGAGTTGATCCTATTTAAACAGAAGCGAACTGTATAACTGTGATTGATTCGAATTGGCGACGTTTGACAGTTACTACTGAAGTTTTGGAAGAAACACAGATTGCAGGATCACTGAATATGACAATGATTTCTCAGCTCTGGAAATTTGTAACCTAAATTATGACAAATTATCGCATGATTTTAGTGTCGAAGCATATAATTGTTCTCGTTTGAGATCGAATGATGTTATGGCATTTTCCAGAAGTTTGGAACATTATGCGGCGCAGAAGCAAGAGATGTCCGATTCACAAGGCAAAAATTGTCTTTCAGGCTGGAAAATGCAATGCTATTTTAGCTTTGAAAATCTCCTCATGAGTTTGTATCACCAATATCCCTTCCTACAGTGATCAAAGTTCTGAGCATCTCAACAGGAACTAACCATGACAGCCCGTATGGATCACCTTACAAATCTCTGATCACTGGAGCAATATTGTAGACTGTACCTGCTTGTGGAAGCTAATTTAATTGCTATTCCATATCAGACTTAAACTCAGCTTCAGGCCAGTAATTTATGAAACTGAAAGAATGTCACTTTTATTTTGAAACCCTAACCCATGATATATTATACAGGTGGGGTATTATACTCTTTCGGTAACTAAGAATTTATTTATCCATTCCTAAGAAAATTCCTTGTAAGCCAAGATCAGTAGTCTGTTGTTTAAGACACAAGGAAAGATTTACATAAATATTTTGTTTTCTATAACAGACAAATCTCCCAGTTTTTAAAGTCAAAGAGTCATCTGTAAGGAGACGGTACAGTGACTTCAAATGGCTAAGAGGAGAGTTAGAACGTGACAGCAAGGTATTAATGAACTTTGTTAAACTTTTGGATCAAAATTAGTGAAACCAAAGGCAAGACTCACATGAATTTAACATCAATGGCCAATCAGAACAAAAGGTCAATATCAAAGAACCCAGTTATAATTTGGATGGTGTAAGTTTTCTTGACCAACAATAGAGCAAAGTTAAGCAAAAGGAGGGCATAGACATTATATATTTTGTATGTTAAATGCTTACCAGAGATCATATTAAATCCCCAGGAGCACTGATGCTTTCTTTCCATGGAAATTGAGAGTCCATCATATCATTTTTACCAGACACATGAAGACCTTGCTGCTGAAAATTAACAGCATGAAATAACTATTTAGGAAATTTCTATTATGGCCAAAACATGCCCTTTTAAAGGGTGTTTTTGCTTTTGCCATTTTTTTGCAACCAAAAAGTGTCATTCAGTTGTGGTACAATTACAGGCATCATCATCATTAGGAATACAGACCCTTGTACCCTAAGCCTCAAAACACCAGAAATAAAGATTCAGATAGTTTTGAGTAGAATGATGTGAGCTCCATTTACTTGAAGCTCATATTTCACACCATAGGAACCATGTGGTATATCTTATCTTTTGATCAATTTTATATCTTTAGTTGCTATTTTGACCTAGGGATTAGTGTAATGCCCTCCATTTTTTTTTTAACTTTTGTCTTCCCAGATAGTGGTACCTCCTCTTCCAGGTGATGCATTTAAGAAGCAATTACCATTCAGAGGAGATGATGGTATGAGGCAGCTCTCTTCTCTCATATGCTTCCTGTGTTTCTATGTACAATACATGAAATTATACACTGTTCATTTTCAGTCAACTTAAAACCCCAGTTACTTTGACATTTCACTGAAACCGAAATTGAAATTGATTTCTCTTGGATTTCCAGTGTATACTTACTACAATTTTGCTGTTGGTACATTCAACCCTTGATTATGCAAATTTAGGAGGGAAGTCCCCTCAATTTTATTTCAACCATTTTGATTATTTATAATTATCTAATGTTCGTCAGTAGATTGTGAGTAAAAGTGAACAGTTCTGCAGTGTATAAGCCTGTTAGAGGTTATTTTGCAGCAGCCATGTATTTCTTGTTTTGTTTTGTTTTGTTTTTTGCTGTTTAAATGCAGTTAAATGCAATTTAGTGTAGTTAACAACAAAGAGCATCAGTGTTCTCTAGTAGTCAGCAGTTTTCTGCAGATGCGCATGCATCAGAAATCTATGTGCTCTTTGTTTGAGGCGTTTTTGCATGTGCTTTAAGTGTGAAATTGCAGTGTTGTGAGGAGGTCATTGTCCAGGCAGTTTTCCCCACCCATTCCCTCTCTCTTTCCACAGTTTATTCAGTGTGACAGGTGCCTGTTTCCCTTTCCTATGTGGGGGCTCATGGCTGGGTTGCCAGGATTTACCAGCCATGGGAGAAGTCTCTATCTAAAAGCTAGGTGCCAATAGTGGAAGCTCCTGGATGTTTCAGGCACCCAACCTCCACTTAGCAATGCAGTTGTTAACTCCTTCAAAATGTAAAGATAGTTATTTGAGGAAATAATCTTATTAGGAAGAAAAGGCAGCATGGATATGTTGCCAATTTTGGTCAACCACTTCCTTATTTGGGTGTTTGATAAGTACTATTCACCTTCCTTTCAGGAATTTTTGAAGATGATTTTATTGAAGAAAGAAGGCAAGGTTTAGAGGCATTTGTTAACAGGTACTGAACATGTTCTCAGCAAAGCCTGGTAATTTTCTATTATGATGCCATGGCAAGTAAGAAATAATTTGTAGAGACTAAAATAAATTTGCATAAAAAGAACCAATTTGAGACATGTGTTTGGCACTTGTGTAGCAAGCTGTAATGTATGTTTAATGAAGAGTATCTAGTACAGATTTAAACACAGATAAACACATGCATAAAATGGTATCCAGTTCTAGTCATTGATGGTTCAACTCGCCAACACCAACACGCCGATGTATAAAATCGAGTATAAAATTGAATAGAGATCTTGTCTAGAAAGCTAAGTTTTTCCTTTTAAAAATCTGACCGATTGACATGATGAGTCTTTACACTGTGGTTGTCACACAATAACTTGTTTGTGTCTAAAGCTTTTTTGGTCTTGGCGATGTTCACCTTGCTTTATTCACCTTGAGATCCTTATGTACTTTGTTGGAAATAAAAATAATTGTTTTTACTAAAGATCTTGTCTAGAAAGCCAAGTTTTCTTTTAAAAATCTGACCAATTGACATGATGAGTCTTTACAGTGTTATTGTCACACATTAACTTGTTCGCGTCTGAAGCTTTTATAGTCATTGGTGATGTTTACCTTGCTTTATTCACCATGAGATCCTTATAAACTTTGTTGAAGAAAAAAAAGAGTTTTTTTTACTAAAGATCTTTTACTTTTCTATATGTTTAACTTCTAATAAGTTCTACTGGATTGAAGACCAACTTGCAAACATCTTTACCCAATTTTATATGTTGGTAAGTTGGCATTGGCGAGTTGAACTGTCGGTGACTTGACCATAATTCCATAAAATATAAAGGGCTCCATCATTTTCTTCTAAGAAAATTTGCCTCTTCTTCCTGTGTGTCCGATTATTCATTCTCTGACTCCCAAGATTGACAAGCATCTCATTTCTCCAAACAATATCACCCAAATCACACATTAAGGTCACAATAACAAAGGAAATGATCAACTTAAGATTGTGGCTCTTGATTGTTAAACAAATCTCCTTGTCAGCACCACAAGGAATGTGTAGAGAACATTGTGGAGAATATGTATACTGATCTTAGGGTGTAAAGGGTTTTGCCTCTGTGCAAAGCTCCAATTATGATTAGCAGCCATATTGCATATTTTAAAGGAGTGTGATAAGGAAAACAGTTTGTCTTGAAACTTTGCACAAAGTGCCCTTTCCTGGGTTTGTTTTTGGAGACTAGAATTTTAGTCTTTGTGACCATTTAATATGATCCTAGGTTCTGGGTGAAGATTAAAATTAATTTGAGCAAGATGGTACATTTTAAGTTTTTTCAGCAGCTAGTTTTATTGTGTCCTGTTGTTGAAGCTGTAAAAGATGTACCAGGTTCATCTGATTATCGTTGTCTCAATAATGTTCTGTCTTGTTTGATTTCCAGGGTGTCTGGACATCCTCTGGCCCAGAATGAACGTTGTTTGCACATGTTCCTTACAGAACCCATTATAGATAAGAATTATGTCCCAGGAAAAGTGAGAACCACATAAAACCCAATGGAGCATTATGAGCAATTATTCCTTGAGGTTCAATGATCAAACATCAATGAGAGATTCTTTAATCCTTGTAGCCATCATAATGTTTGGCTGCTCCATTAACCTCTTTTGAATCCTGCAGTACAAAGTTAGTTTAAGGTTTAAGAAATTACAAGAATGTGATCATTAGTGATTTATGATAAAATCATTTATTGGATGTCAGTGCCAAAAATATTTTTCTTGATGGCTTAAGAACTAAAGGTTTGCCACATATTTTTAGAACAGTTCAGGATTAAATAATATATACTTAACTGTAACTAATTCAGGCATTTCGAGGCATAAATGAAAAGTAAGTGCACTGATAGATAGCAGCAAGAAACAAGGCTTAGTGGCTTAACGAAGATTACACAATATTCCATTTTTGATATGTCCAAAGCCTCTGTTGTTAGACTTTGATATAAAATTGGTTTAAGGATGATTTTGCACTTGGTTTCACCTTGAAAGTGATGGTTTTCAGAACTCAGAAATGGCCTTTTTTTTTAATAAAAACTCCACAGTTGATCTTAACGCTTTAACTCTTAGAAGTGATTCACATGGAACTTCTTCATACAATGTCCATACACTATCCAGCAAACAGGTAATGAGAATACTCAAATGTATCAGGTAGTTGTTATCTTGATCTAAGACCAAATTCTTGTAATTATCTTACAAGGAAATGTGTAGAAACTAGAGGGGAGAATGAACAATCATTTCTTGGTAGTGAAAGGGTTTTAATCGTAATATTAAGGTGGTATTAGAAGATCAGGCATTATCCAGACTTGTCATCATGCTTATGCACACTTATCAGGATGATATGCCAATGCTTGACATCCAGTACCAATAAGCCAAATGGTGCCTAACAAGAAGTCATCATCATTACCATAATATTACAACTATGTTTTCTTTGAATATTGAAGAAATATTATTAATCCACTAATGTGAGGGTGTGTGCTCGGAACATCTTGACTCATCTGTTACTGCAAGAGCTTTACAATGCTTGAGCAGAAATACTTCTGTCGCTGTAATTATCAGACTTAAATGCAAGTGCTGTGCTATGCTTTAAGGTGATTAATATGTAGCAATCTACAATATTTCATAACTGAAATGTATTGGTGCATTTTTTAAAATTATAGGAAGTACTGAGTGGTGCTATACCGCTATGTAGGATGGTGAAGGTTATTTCTATCTTCCATTTTTATTAAATCAATTTTCTCACATGGCTATGTACAGCTGGTGATATTACTGATGAAAAGAATATTTTATTGTTTATTAAATATGTTACCAGTATTCCAGGTACTCTCTCTTCCAGGTAGGTTTTGTAGGGTTGTTGATGGAGTTCCATGACTCAAAACTGAGTGCAGGCACGCATACAAAAAATTTTATGTGGTATCTGTTCAAATATATTTTGACTCACAAATTTTGCAAGTCACCATTAAATGTATCCCTTCACAAAACAATCCTTTCAAATGGTAAATTAAGTCTACGGTACTCCATTTGCATCCTCTTCTCATCTCTTGGATTTCGTACTGAAACTAATGTTGTAGCAGTCCCAGGCCTCCCCTGTCGGCCAACTCGCCCTGCTTGATGCAAATAGGCATCAATATTTCTGGCCACTTCTGTTAAATACACATGGTCCAGTTCTTTGAAGTCCAGACCTCTCACTGTTTCTTCTGTGCCAACCACGACATTGATCTGTCCAGTTTGAAACTCTGTGAGGAATTTCTCATATTCCTCAGGATCCTGATTAGCAACTTTTTGATACAGTGCTACAGCATTTAGTCCAAGGTCTCTCAACTCCCAGACAAAGTCATCAACTGATTGAAGACGGTGAATAAACACCAGACCAGATTTCTGGCCTGACTCTCTGAAAACTCTGTGAAAGAGATAATCAACATATGTGAGAAACTTTTTGCACTTCATTTGTCCTTACAATGGTTATGTTTAGGAATAAGAGAATAAATGGATTGTTATAGGAATTGGACGTAATTAAAATGAAGAATAATCTTGTCAGTGATATAATTTAAATTTTTTATCACAGCAAGACCAGTTGTTTTGACTTTGAAATAATATCAGCCTGTGATCTTTTGTGATGTAATTACAATGGCAGCTCATGTTTTGGAGTTGAACAGATCTTTAAAAGAAATTCCTTTATTTGCAGCTCACTGTTTCATTAAAAATCTAGAGAACCCTTCTGAGAAAAAAAATAAGTCTACACATGAAGAAATTGCAATCAACCCTTTAACCACAAAGAGTGACTAACATTTAATTTCTCCCTACAGTATCACCCATAAATCAAACATTTAAGGTCACAAGAATAAAGGAAATGATCACCAACTTAACCCTTTAACACCTAAGAGTGACTAGCATCTAATTTCTCCCCACAGTATCACCCATAAATCAAACTTTTAAGGTCACAAGAATAAAGGAAATGGTCACCAACTTAACCCTTTAACACCTAAGAGTGACTAACATCTAATTTCTCCCCACAGTATCACCCATAAATCAAACATTTAAGGTCACAAGAATAAAGGAAATGATCACCAACTTAACCCTTTAACACCTAGGAGTGACTAGCATCTAATTTCTCCCCACAGTATCACCCATAAATCAAACATTTAAGGTCACAAGAATAAAGGAAATGATCACCAACTTAACCCTTTAACACCTAGGAGTGACTAGCATCTAATTTCTCCCCACAGTATCACCCATAAATCAAACATTTAAGGTCACAAGAATAAAGGAAATGATCACCAACTTAACCCTTTAACACTCCAGTATCACCCATAAATCAAACATTTAAGGTCACAAGAATAAAGGAAATGATCACCAACTTAACCCTTTAACACCCAGGAGTGACTAACATTTAATTTCTCCCTACAGTATCACCCATAAATCAAACATTTAAGGTCACAAGAATAAAGGAAATGATCACCAACTTAACCCTTTAACACCTAAGAGTGACTAGCATCTAATTTCTCCCCACAGTATCACCCATAAATCAAACATTTAAGGTCACAAGAATAAAGGAAATGATCACCAACTTAACCCTTTAACACCTAAGAGTGACTAACATTTAATTTCTCCCTACAGTATCACCCATAAATCAAACATTTAAGGTCACAAGAATAAAGGAAATGATCACCAACTTAACCCTTTAACACCTAAGAGTGACTAACATCTAATTTCTCCCCACAGTATCACCCATAAATCAAACATTTAAGGTCACAAGAATAAAGGAAATGATCACCAACTTAACCCTTTAACACCTAGGAGTGACTAGCATCTAATTTCTCCCCACAGTATCACCCATAAATCAAACATTTAAGGTCATGAGAATAAAGGAAATGATCACCAACTTAACCCTTTAACACCTAAGAGTGACTAGCATCTAATTTCTCCCTACAGTATCACCCATAAATCAAACATTTAAGGTCATGAGAATAAAGGAAATGATCACCAACTTAACCCTTTAACACCTTGGAGTGACTAGCATCTAATTTCTCCCTACAGTATTACTCCTAAATCACACATCAAGGTCATGAGAATAAAGGAAATGATCACCAACTTAACCCTTTAACACCTTGGAGTGACTAGCATCTAATTTCTCCCTACAGTATTACTCCTAAATCACACATCAAGGTCACAAGAATAAAGGAAATGATCACCAACTTAACTCTTTAACACCTAGGAGTGACTAGCATCTAATTTCTCCCTACATTATTACTCCTAAATCACACATCAAGCATCTAATTTCTCCCTACATTATTACTCCTAAATCACACATCAAGGTCGCAAGAATAAAGGAAATAATCACTTTGGTAAAGAAGTTCTTGATTGTCAACCAAATTGTCCTTATTGTCCTTGTGCATGCTGATGTTAGGGTCTTGAGAGGTTTTAACCTAATTATAAATTAATGTGTAAGAATAATTTACAATTACACAATCAGTTTTTTACCTGGCAAGTGCCTGTGCTTTGGTAAGACCCACAGACTCATCACAAATAACATATTGGTGTTTAATGCATGGAGGAACTTTACAAGGCCGTCCTTCAAGTGTGGATGACTGTATAAGTTTGACATGATCTCCCCAGCCAATTTCTGTCAGGTCCTCTTGGAGAACATCATTCACAGTTGCAGAAGCTCCAATCATCTGGATGTGCTTAACCTTTGATAAAAAAAGAGACAGAAAAATTCTGATTGCCAAAAGGATTTTTTTTTCTGCCTTAACAGACCTGATGCCCTATAAAACTGATCCAGTACTTGTAAATACCAAAGCTTTGAAAAATGCCATATACAAGGTTAATAACTGCTATGAGAAAGTTGATTCATCAACACCATAGGATTTAGTTTACAAATCATAAGCTGATTTACAAGAATCACTGAGCACTACTAACACTAATTTAAAGATCATTATACAGAATGAACCAAATGCAAAAACAAATCAAACTAATGCAGAAAAAAATGCTATAGAGTAATCTAGTGGTAAATAGAAGAAAATTAGTTATTACAGAGAAGTCCACACCAAATATAGGGAGGAATTATGAAAGAAGTGCTTTATATCCCAGAGCAAAGCAAAGAGTGACCTTTTGTCATCGGAGAATACAACCATCAACTTCAAGATCAAGCTGCTGCATTTCACACAGTCATCGGTGATATGAAGAAGACTGATTGAATATCAATAGGATGAATTTCACTAAATTCACACCTTAGATAACTGAAGAACTTTTTCCACCACGGTCTTAGCTGCTCTAGGATAGTTTGCGCGATGAGTGAGCTTCTTGAATGAGGACCTCCTATGAAGTGGCAAAAGAACTTTGTCCACTTCATCAATTATGATCCTTTTAGTGCGTTGTACCAGTGAAGGATCCTTCTCAATTATTTCAAGAATCCTCTTAGGTGTTCCAATAGCTATCAAAGGTTTCTTTGCCTTATCTTTCAATCTTGCCTCCTGTTTACTCAAATTGACACCACTCACCTAAATAAAGAAAAAAATTCATATCATTCCAACTTAAGAAGGATGAATGCTTAGGTTTTGAGAGTAGGGAAACTCTTTGAGTTAGATGACTATCAATTTTCATTTGCACTTTATAACTCTATTTTATACAGAAAACTGAAAAAAAAAAGTAACCATCCCCCCTGAAAATTTAATATGTAGCTACTTGCTGAGAGAATGATTGGTTAAAAAATCTTGATGCATTGATACCCAAAGGGATATTGTGCTTTTTCTGTGTTAAAAATGTTAGTCACACCAGTATTCTGTTATTGTATTCATAGTGTTAACCTTCAACACCCTATCATCAGTTTGCATCTTCTCCACACTATTCTCTTCACATTTCCTTAGGTGCTGTAGAGAAGAGTTTGTTCAACTATTAAGAGTCTCTTTAGTTAGCAATCATTTCCTTTATTCTCACAACCTTAATGCTTGATTCGAAGGTGATAATGTGAAGAAAATTCGATGCTAGTCCCTCTTAGAAGTTCAAGGGTTAACAAGTTACTCTGCCATATTACTCATACACAAGGATATATAGCAGTTAGAGAGGAGAATTACAAAACTATCACATCCTTGTAATTTAAGAGCAGACACTCATTCTTTGAGACAAACCTTCTCTTACACTATACCTACCTCTGATTACAAAAGCAACCAAGCAAATAATTTAGATTCTTTTTATCTAAATTCCAAAAAAAAGGATTTTCATTTATATCTGAGGCCAATAACTTTTTAGTGGTCCACTAAATTTGACCCACATAAAAATAAATGTTTAGATTACATAAAGCTGTAAGCTACATTTTTTACATTTTAGGATAACTCACAAAAGACTCCACAATAGCTTTATCACCAAGAAGATGACGAGCCTCAAACAACATTTGACTTGCCAATTCTCTTGTGGGTGCAATGATTATTGTGCCAAAGGTTTTTCCAGGAGATTGCAGAGTAGGCAATAAGAATACCATAGTTTTACCGGATCCAGTTTCTGATTGAATAAGAACACTCTTTCCCTTTAAAACTATTGGTATTGCTTGTTTTTGAATGTCAGTGGGAGTGACAATGCCAAAAATGTTGAGCTTCTGTATAAGCTTTGGGTGAAGATTGAAGTCTTCAAATGATAGAATTTTAGAAGTATCAATAACATCTGATTCTTCCTTATTTTCCCTTTCCTCTTCATCCCTCTCATCTTTTCTTTCAAATATTTTTTCATCATCTAATTCCTCCTCTGTCAAACTCTTGTATACCGGAGTTAGCCTTGCAAAGTCCTCTGCTGTGGGAATCCTGAATTCTGTCGTCCCATCATCATCGAGCAGATCGTCTCTTTCCTCCTTAGTCAATTCACTTGCAATGGGCAGGGTGGTGACATTTGGAGTCACAAACGTATTTCTATAATTTTCCTTTGTCGACTTGATCCCTGTTCTTCTTTCTTTAAAAACATTTTGTATATATCCCTCTGTAGTACTCCACAGCTGCATGAATTCTTCATCTGGATCATGTTTCTTTTCCTTCTTGACACCTTTCCGTTTGATTCCTGTCACTCCAGTCAATTCCCTCGTGTTTCGTGGCTTTGAGGCCAAACAACGAACATAATTGACATGACACGGAGAAAAGGTGCGCCGTAAAAGAGGCTGGCGGAAGATTTTTTCAATAAAAAACGGTTTCATCGTGAAATTTTAAGCGATTTGTCTGACCTTCCGCAGAGGACATTCAGTATTAGATTTACAGAGCGTCTCATCAGCATGCGACGGTAGATCTCTACCAGGCGTTTTAAAAAGCTATTCACATTCAATGGAGGTGAACTGGCTCGAGCTCAAAATAACCTTTGGAGGGTAGAGTGAAAAGGGAAAGTGCAAAAAAAACAAAAACAAAAAAAAAGGACCCAAACAGGTAGACCGTGGCAGTGTCGTCTTTTACCCCAAAAGAAGAGAGGAAACTGTTTGTATGTTTAAATCGTGACGAATAGGGCCGAAATTCTGTTTTAATAAGTTAAAAATTTATTTATTTAACTTAGCTAGCTTGAGTATTATTCGTCCTTACCACAATGACAGATGAGCTGTCACGGACACGTTCCTCTGCTCGTTTGTGCAGTCATGCAAGGACAGTCAAATAATCGGAACAGCAAGTCCAATATAAGGAACAGCTGATCACAACCGCATTAGATACCGAGTAAGTAAGGTGGTGATTCCACGTCTGTACACAGATCGGCAGAGGGTAAGTATCTTTTTCGATTCCCGTAAATATGATTTGAATTCTACCATCGTCTCGAGGTCAAATGACAACGATGTTTTCGTCACAAATTCAATGCCTTCTATTTTTAAACTTACACGAAATTCTTTTTTTTGAAAGAAAAGTTGTCTTTATAATGTGTTTCCACTTGCAGAGTTTTTTTCAAACGGGAGGAACGATTCTCAAGGCAAAACGAGCCAATTCTACTGAGCCTAATGGCTTTTTCAAGAAATGACATAGCAAGATACCTTTTTGTGGTATGTGCGGAACTTTATAGCTGTTTTTCTAGATTTATTTGAAAAGATAATGGGATTTACTCCAAGATCATTTCGTTTTTTAACCCGAGGTAACTTATCCTATTGGGTTAATGTGTTTGAGTGTCCTGTCTGTCTAAGCTCGATGCACCCATACGCACAGTTTTCGATTCAAAGCAGACGTTTCCGCGATTGCGAGACAATGCAAGCTATAATTAGAATACACTGTTTGGGCAAATCGATTATCTACAGCTTAGATTTGTGTTTTTCGTGTAAAATTTCTTACTGCAATGGTTTTAATTTTGATGGTCAGGTACCATCTTCTGTTTAGAGAAAATCGAACAGGAAAAACAAAAGCGGAACTTTCACATCGCTCAGCTCGCCGAGATGTTTCTTTGTAAGGAGATTGACGTAAATACTTTGATTACCTTTCAAGAGGCCCTTCAGATTCATTGGAACTTGTAAACATGCAACTGGTATTGATAGTGTCAATTTGAAAGTCATTGTAATTATTGTTTGACGAGCTGTTTGAACGAAGTTAGTCAGGGATCTACAGGCATTCAATTTAAACACGAAACAAGGAGCCTCTAAGTAAGAATGACAGTCCTTTTTTTTAGTTTTTTTAGTCTGATGAACTTCTTTAATCAACAGGAATCACTGTGAATATTTCCTCACAGCACTCTCATCAATTCTATTTAGTACGACCAGACCTGAAGTAATCTTAATTTCCAGCCAGTCAGAATTAAGACCATACGTCAGGGAGCTTTAAGAGCCCTTGACTTAAAGTGCCGCATGGGTGGAAAATTGCAATTAATCAATTCAAGATTTGTTTAAGTTTCTAGATCAGAACAGACAAGGGGTCAGTGAATTAATCACACTGCTGAGAGCCAATCAGATTATAAGGATCACCTGAGTCTAGTGATCCTAAAACAGATGCAATAAAGTAATAAAAAGATAGCTTTAGATGCTTAATTTAAACTTTTTGGCCAGTCGACAAACTTTTACTTCTATTGTGAATGTTGTTCATCTGAAATGAGCGCAATATTTTTATTTAATGATGCATTGCAAACAATAAATCTTTAAAAGTCTTTGTGAAGATTTTTGAAAGCTTGTTCATGATGTCATAGTTTTTAATTATCGGTGTTTATATTCAGCATTAATTATATAGGGCTTTGTAATCTTGCTAAAATTACGTGAGATTGAATAACATAATTTTCTTTGAATATATTTGACTAACTATTCCATAGGGTTTTTGTACAATATGGTAAACAGTATCACTTTTTCTTAGACACCCACACTTCAGAATTGTGTTTTTGCATGTTGAGTGATTCATTGTCTGTGATCAAACTTTTGTGCTTAGACATGCAAAGCTTGGTACAGTTTAAATTTTTAAAAATAATCATAAAATTTCCAAAAATATTTATGTACAAAATCATCTAAATCATGAAAAATGTTTTTTATAGTTCACTTTCATCTACACTATCTTCTTTGAGCTTCTGTGACGTGAGAAATTGCATCAACTGCTTTGTACTTCATATGTCAGCTCATTGATTTCAACAAGCCAATATTCTGTGGCTTTCTGTGTTTTGATATTGTTCAAGACAGGATTACTGACTTAATTTTAGAGTTTGCACAAGGAAAGATTACATTTAGCTTAGTAAACACATTATCTTTCTGTTACTGAGTCTAAATAAAAAACAATCTTTGTAAAGATAACTTTGATTGCCCAGCATAGTACCCTTATTTTGTTATGGGCAGAATGCTTAAGGAATTATATTCAAGTAATACCGGTATGTCAAATGCTTTCATCTTGGTCCAATGAAGAATTGAAGATCGTAGTCTTCAAAAGAACAGAAGAATCATTCAGGCATTGTAATCTGAAAGTCCAATATCTTGAATATCCCTCAACATATGAAAAGTTGAACAGTCCCTAATTTTTTAGTATCGAATATGTTTTCTATTAAAAAAATAGCCTAGAAAACATAATTTATCAATTACAACCTAAAAAAAATATAAATTTACAAAGTTATAAATTGAAAACAATTTGCTGCAAACTAAACAACTGACAGAATCTCTGAAATTTGCATACCATGCAGCAGTCTATCATTAACATAATGTCTGTTCCTCTAAGCGTGACAAATTTTACTTAACACCATAACACTCTAGTTTTTGATTTGTTAATCAGTTGATCATCTTTTTCAAAAAGATTTTAAGACCAAGATAATGCATAACTGTAGATTGTGGGAATGAAACCCCAATTAATATTTATAGTTTTAAATATGAGAGTACATTTATGAATGATTATTGTAAGTCTGGTCTTTTATTTGTGTTTCAATAGAATTGTACCTCCCGCACAGGTTTGTGTCTGTTTTATTACCCCCTAGATTCTAGATAATTTCAGTCTTTTCCGGTTAATTCTTTTATAAAATTTAGCATTAAAGAGACCCCCACTGTCTCCCCTCCCTCTCCTTTCCATATGAATTTTCAATGACCCTCTCTTTATCAGAATGATGTGCATATCTTCTGCAAAAATCTGCTGGTACCCTTTAAAAGCAATGCTAGAGATGGATTCTTTAATCATTTTGTAATTTTGTCTGATTTTGGCAGAAGGTCTTCCCTGTGGCTTTAAGTCATACTTCAATGCATTTTTTTTCACAAACTAAAATCTTTTTTTTCAATTGTTATGAATAACTGAAAAATTTTTTTCAGATGACATGGATGATTATAAATGTTGCACTCTTTGCCTCAACATACATGAAATATGGCACAACAAAAAAGTATCATTATTTGAGGATTATTGTCAAGGTACTGTTCTATTTTATTTATTGATTTTTCTGACCAACAGATTTTAAGATGTCTAGGCTAGATTTTGCTTGCTGTTTCATTAGTCAAAAAAATTGAGGTCTACTTTCAAACTCCAAACTTTGGACATGACAATTTAATCAATCTCTCTGGGATTAACAGGGAATTTGATTTTGGTTTAGCAAAATCACTTTTTAAGAGCCATTTCACAATTGTTAATTCCCTTTTTTGATAGATTCATAAATAAGTTAATTTTTGCATTAAACTTGCATTTAGCAAACAACTTAATGAGAGAAATCAGTTTTGGAAACTCTTAACAATGGCCAATTTACATTATCCCCTTAGTAGTTAAATTAAAAACCAATTTATCTCAGATTTTGAAAAGTCTACTTTGATCTATTTTAAATAATTATGATTTTGTTGTTCCTAGGGTGGACTCCCTTTTGCCCGAGGTGCTGCAATGGTGTTAAACTTCAACTGCATGTTAATCCTGCTATCCATGTGTCGTAATATCATCTCTCTTATCAGAAGTAATCTCAATGTATGTTGTTTACTACTAAGATAATAATGTGATCCAACTTTTTGTGATTATTCTCAGGTTAACCCTTTAACTCCCAAGATCTCATTAGTAATTCTCCTTACTGTCTGCTATACAATTCTTCTGATGTTACCTCTGAGAATTTGGTATTGGATCAACTCATAATCCCCTAATTCTACTTTTCTTGGTTGTCATCACTTGTATCCTTGATTTTGTATTGATATTGTAAGGAGAAATTCTGTCTTGGTCACTGGTGGGAGTTAAGGGGTTAAGTTTTCTGCTATGTGATTGGTCAGTTTTATGTACAATTAGTCTTACTGTTGAGTTTATGTGTCAAGCTTGACTTATCTTGTTTGTCCAAGAAATCTGACTCAGTCTTGACTTCATTTTTAACAGAAATTAGATATTTAACCCTTTCTCTCCCAGGATCACATAAGAAATTCTCCCTATTTTGTGTCATACAATACTTATTAAGTTACTTCCATCAGAGAATTTGGTATTGGATCAACCTATAATCCCTCTAATTGATACATCTCTTTTATTATCTAACTGCACAAAGTAGAGTACAAATATCCTGTGATATTGTACAGTTGGTTATTGTGTATTGTGAAAAAAAAAACTGTTGTGTTGACATTATAAGGAGGATCATTTTGTCTTGGTCACTCATGGAAGTCAAAGCAGCATAAAAAGAATTCTCATTTTTCATAGTGTGGTTGGTGTGGAAGCATTATAAGCCTTTTGGACAAGAATATAACTTTCCATAAGTACTGTGCTTACACTATCTGCTTTTTCACTGGTGAGTGAATCAAGGCTATCCATGGTATATTTATGCATAATGACTATAGATTGAATAATGTTGGCAAGTATTGAGATTAATCATAACTCCCCTACATGGTAGTTTCAGTCAAGGGTAT